CCCCCCCCCCCCCCAGTGTAATTCATATCAGTAGTAGAACATCTCACGATCCCCTCTTCGTACAGCCATCGAATAGAACGGCTCTGCTAACCCCCGGGAATCTTCAAACATGAAGAACGCTGCCGGAGCGGGAACTCGCAGATTGCCTCGACGGCACAGTAAACAGTAGACAAAAAAACAGGGGAGGCAATGACTACCGCGGTAGCACGACGGCGACGCAGGTTCATGCGTCGCACAACGTTTCGAAAGTTGTCGTGCGCGGTATCGCCATGAACGATATCAGAAAAAAGAAAAACTTCGTATGTGGAACGCTCGGGGGACGGGAAGGAGATCCTCGAACGACGTCGGGAGGAAACTGTCTCGGCCCGGACGAGGATCCACGGGAGATCCGATTCCTTGATGCCGCGCGCCGCCGTCCGGGTTGAAGACTCGAGATCAGCAAAATCCGGAGCGTCGGCCGAAAATGGGCCCCGATTTCTTTGAAGAAACGTTGTATTTTGTATTATACCGGAAGGTCGCTGTTAAACATGAGACTGCTTGCTCAAGGGGGGTATGTATGTATCGAACAAACTAAGAAACGAAGTCTTTCCACCGCCGCTTGTATCATCACCACTCTATCCAAAACCGGCCGGAGGCTCAGCCTGCAAGAATGGTTCGGCACAGCTTGGCTGAGCCCAGAAGGCCCCCCGTCTCACGTCCCCTCTTCCGTTCCGCAATCGCTATGGAGCGCTTTATGTGACCTTCGTCTCCTTCTCCCCACACTCACGAGACCTACATGCTCGTCGTCCTACGGCGCACCACAGAAGCCGAGCGGAAACCCGCCGCTCTCCCCAGCTGCTGTAGGGGAGAATCTATTTGCCGCGGTACGCCTTGCACCACAGGCGGCGATTCCCTCTTGTGCTTCCCATTCCACCACTAAATAAGTCTTATGTGCCAGAGAGAGTGTCTGAGGAGGGCGAGAGAGTGTGGTGACTTTGGAGCGCGTCCTCCCATTGCAAATAGTTTAGCACGACTTGAGCATAATCGGGTCCAAGGACACCCGGGCGCCGTGCGACGATTCTTGAGTATCGGTGGCACTGCGGCAGGAAGAAAGGAACCCGCCCGCCGACGGAGGAAGGAAGGAGGGAGGGAGGCAGCTGTACGGCGCTCCCGTCTGTACATCCGTTTCGAGTACGTGACGCCCGTGTCACCGATGACCGTCAGCCGTCTCGCGCACCCACAGCCCCTCTCTGTTCTGTTACGGCTCTCTCTACTTCTTTCCCTTGCCGCCGTCCGGGTCGTACTTTTCTTTCCAAATCCTATTGGTTTGTAGCAGTCAGTCTCGGTGTCACCACCCAATATTGGGTCATGGTGGTGTCAGGAAACAGGCAATGGCGTCAGGAACGAAAGACAATGGGGAATACGGGGGAAAGACGGAGAGATCGCGCGATGCAAGCAGCCAGGCAGGCGGCGAAACCCCCTAACACTCCAGTATCGAGGCTTGGTGCAATCCTGCTGGAGGCGGCGCAGCTCAGCACGACGCGCGCAGAAATCATGCTGCAAGCCTGCTATTACGTGCAGCGCTGAGAAAGAATCGCCGATAACCAAAGACCCCAAAGCAGGGCGAGCTGCCGCTGCTATTGATGCCGCTGCATCTTGGGGTGCAGCGAGACGCAGCAGCCTATCAATGCCGCAGCGTGCAAGTCATCTGCGACGCGCTGCAGGCTGCCACCCCTCTCTCTCCTCATGGATGACTTGATGCGCCTACCGGATCCGACTCTGGGGGAAAACCGAGCAAACCAGTTTTGGGGGAGGGCGAAACGTAAACAGGCTCGACTTACCAGGAATTGCCTAGTGTTTTGTTGCCGCTCTTCTCGGCCAACCGGTAGTAACGAGCTGCTGCGAACTGGACATGTCGTCAGCCTCATGTGACGGAATTGAGCATGCGTATCGAGCGGGTGTCATTCGCGGCCGCGAAAGACGGCCGGTTGATGCCCAACCTGGCCGAAGCAACTTTGCTGACTGCTTGGAGTCTCGGCTCTTTCGAGTCGCGTTCATCCCATGGCCCATGCAATAGATGATGCAAGCCCCACGGTTTCCCGGGACGGTTGAGGCTGATAATAGGGTTTCCCCAGAAGCCGTCTCCCGTCTCCCGTCCCCGTTTCGTCGACCCGGATAGGCGTAATGTCTCCAGAGAGGTGATATATGACAAGTACTCACCTTGTCTTTCTTGCACCCAAAGCCCTCCAAATAACACCAGGCGACTTCATTCATGGCGTCTGAAACGGTAAGGCTGGTTAGCGTACCCGAAATCTTGCATTGGGCTCTGGCGCCCGACGGCGCATCATGAGGGCATTCTCACCACTGTCTCCAAGGTTCGCCGCGGTCTCGTAGTACTGCCATTGGATGTCAGCCCTCGCCGCTTCTGTCATGCCTACGACTCTGCGGATGTCTCCCTCTCGCCTCGAGCTTCTACTTGGACGGGGAAACAAACCTGCTTGGCCGCGATTGGGTCCTTGTTCGTGCCCCAACCGTGTCTGAACGAGTTTGCGAGTTCGAAGATGGCCAGAACGAGTTCTCCCTTGGCAGCGCCACCCTTCTTGAGCCCGGCCTTCAACGCCATTTGCTCCACGGCTGCAGCGTTCGATGCCGCGGCCGAGAGATACTTGATCGCCCCTTCTGGATTGGGCTCGCATCCCCAGCCGTGTCTATCAACAAGCCCGAATCAGCAATCGCGTCACTGGAACCGTCGAAACCAGGGCATTATAGCCACTCGGCGCCCCCTTCAGGACTCCCGGACGCAACGTGATCGTCCAGGAGCGACCTGACCCCATCCACTAGGCACGGGGAGGCGACAGCAGATCTGCCGCCACAGGTCGAGACCAGTCTGGATATGCAGACTCACCTCAATGCAAGTCCATACAGGAACTGGCTGAGTGTATTGTTCGCCCCATTTGGATCAGCCAGAACGGCGAACATGGCCGTCGAGTTCTTGTAATCCCCCTCCTCGTGCAGCCGGATGGCCTCCTGGATATCTCCGTCGATGGCCGGCGACGACACGGCAGCGCTCGTCGAACGCCCCCTCCCTCCCTCGGTCCCTGGCCCTTTATTCTCATTCGGCGTGGCGGGTCTGCTCTTATTCGAAGAGGCCAGGATCGTAGCGCGCTTCTCCCACGCCGACTCGTCGCCCTCGGCCGTGGTCACGATGTCGGGCAGGTTCACGGGGACGTTCTCGGAAGAGGCGGGCGAGCGGCTGAGGTGCAGTCGTTCCGACAGGCGCCTGGATCCTTTCGGGTTGCCGTTGCCATTGCCGTTGCCGTTGCCGTTGCCGTTGCCGTTGGAGCTCGCCTGGGAGGAAACGGAGCCGCTGCGGGAGCGGTTGCCGAAGAAGACGTCGAGGCTGCGCCGGGGCTTCTGGCCGCCGTCCTTTGGGTTCAGGAACTGGTCGTTGTTCTCCGCCGAGACCGTCGGTGGGTGTATGACCTCTTGCGAATGCGTATCTGAGCGGATGAACTTGAACTCGGGGGCCGCCAGCCTGTCCACGGCGTCCTGGCTGCTCGTCTCGCCGCTTTCGAGGTTGTCCTTCTTCTTGAGGATGTCGCGCAAACCCATGGTGACGCCTAAGGATTAATACTCTTACAGATGATGTCCGAGCTAGATCTCGAGGGAAGAAAAGAAGAAAAGCGAACGTAAAGCGAAAAAGTCAGTTATCTCGTACTCGAAGGAAACTTTCAAGAGGCCATTTGGGGGTGCTTATGTGGGCGCAATGTCGTCACATTTGGTGCTATTCTCAGCTTCAGGCAGGGCGAAAGTGTGCAGAGACGCGGGGCTTAGCTGATGGCGGTGCAGCTCACAAAGACACTGATTCCAACCAACAGGGCGCCCTCTGCACAACCACGATACCTTTTAGCTACCTACCTAGGCAGCTAGGATCATCAAATGATGGGGTCCCCATCGACCTTAGCGCCTCGTCAGCGTCTAAGGCGTAGCAGTCTCGGAAGGAACAAAGGGCTCAGGAACCACTGAGCGCAGCGGGTGGCGCTGGGTGTCGGATGGAATGGATGGGGGCCATAAGGAGACTTGGAGAGTTTCCAGTGTGTCAGCGCACACGAAATGTCATCGAATGGGGTCCCGTCGTTTTCAGGAGTCCACAGGGAGCAACAGGATGGCGGGGTAAATTTCCATTGGGAAATTTTAATTGATTTAATTGAGACATCCGAAGCCAGCTGGGAACGGCCCGCTCGCGGAAATCATAGCCCGTCATGGTCCAAGCGAAGTTGAAGACTTGGCTTCGAGGCTCCAGACCTCATGTCACTGCAACCTTTGATCAATCTGAATGGAGTCATTTAAATGTCACGTATAATTAAGGGACTGATCAGCGGACAATGCTCGATTCGAGGCCAAGGCACGATGATGATAATGATGATGATGGTAAATGCTTTGATCCACAGTTCTTCTTTATTCTTTTTATCCTTTTCTAGGAATATTCTTCTTCGTCTCTGGTATCAATTCTTCAAAAGAGTTGTTCGTGGGTATCGTTTGTTCGCTGCTCTTTTCCTCCCATAACCTGAAATACGTCCTTTTTGGAAACAAGATTTCCCCTGGATTGGACTCCCCTAGGGAGTGTATAGCAAGCATGTCAGTAAAAGACGGAGGGCCACTGCGGCCGCCTCACCAAATGTCACGATTAGAAAGCGATGTAGTCCTTTTGAACCTTGAAGTCAGTATCATCACCAACAGAGTCGGTGATGAACTCCTCCACTTCGTCCGAGTCCACATCGTCGCTGTCGACTGACTCGTCGTCGCTCGACAAGTCTTCCATCTCGTCGCCGTCCGGGCGCTTTCGAAGGACGCTTGCCCTCTCGCGATGAAGAAGCTTACAGCCCTTGGTCTTGCACTTGCCCGTGTTGCTGAAGTCGGGGCATTCGAAGACGTGTCGCTCCTCGCAGCTGTCTCCCTTGTCGCAGTAGCCGTACTTCCCGAAGGAATGGCAAACCAGAGCACCTGGGGATACACTAGAGTGAGCATAATGGCAGTTGGGGTTCGCACAGTTGCCCTTGATGAAGTGGACACAAGTCGGGATGCGCTGGGGCGTCAAGTCATGGGAAAGATCACAAGACTCCTCGTGAGCGCAGGTCCCCTTGTGAAGCAACTCCCGGCAAACGGCAACCCTCGACGCATCGTGGATGTATCGGCAACCTGGGCCCTTCGCGCATGAACCTAGAAAACGTGCTGGGTTAGTGGTGTCCGAAACATATCATACCAAATTGAGTATAATCTTGTCAAGTTTGATCTGACGGCAAGTCGTTGGGTGAGAATGTGAATAAAATACCAGTCAGCGAAAACATGCTACAAGGCACGTCGACCTTCTTGACGCCATGTTGGCTGCGGGGTTGATGACGATTAGCGGCTGTGTACCAAAAGGACAGGAAACATACCGTTGCGCTCTGAGCACACCTGCGCGGTACAAGTTGCCGGTTTTGCTTCGATGAAATTTCACACCTCCGACATATGCGACCTTGGGTGTCGCGTTGACGGGGTGCAAGTCTCCTGAAGAATCGTCAGTCCATGCCTCCACCATTGTTGTGAGTTGAGAACATACCGGAGACTTTGATGAGTTTGCTTCCGTTGTGGGCGACGCGGTATCGGATTCCCTGGATCTCGACCTCGTGCTGGCCTACGGCTGTGCTGTTAGTAGGAGTGCTTGGTGCACTGGCCCGTCCGCCGTATCGTTGGAAATGGCCAGCGAGCTGAGACTTCTCGCGCGCGTCCTGCTGAAGCATCTTTTGTTGCCTAGTTGCCTCGATGGCCTTGGCGGTGGCCTCATGGTTCTTGTCGTAAACGGCCGAGTTGATAAGCGACCGCTGTCCGGGGGTGTTCTTCGAAATCCAAGTACCCGAGGAACTGGTCGAGCTCGAGGCCTCGGGGGTTGGCGAGTCGGATGGCGGGGTTGACGTTCCACTATTATTCATCACAAGAGATTTGTGACGGAAGCCCGAGGGGCCTCGGGTAGAGGGGTATGGCTGAACACGATGCTTGTGAGGATAGCCGCCATGTCGATGGGTGTTGTCTGTTCTGGGTGAGTGTCGAGCGACGAGTGTAGACGAATCTTTCGACGTACGTCGGCTGTACGATGCTTGACTGCTGGGTACTGATTGAATGCCGGCCTGTTGAGCCTTGTGGATGTTGATCTTGCCTGTTTGCCACCAGATTAGAATGGGCGCGGTTTCCCAATGTTGGTTTGCGGTAAATACACACCAGCAAGCTGGCTAATGCGCGCCAGCAGTTCCTGTTCCTCCTGCGAAGGCATTTTTGTAATGTGCGCTATTGTTGCAAAAACTCTGCACTGAATGCGCTAGATGTTGCGACCAAAAGGTGGTTATTGCGACGAAAAGGTGTGTTGATGGAAGGTTCTCTATGAGATAATGCAGTGGGAAGGAGACGCTTTGACTTTGCCCTTGATCCGGGGCGTTGGTGGAGAACAGCGACGAAGACCCACATGATCTGCTGACCAATCCAAGTAGAGGAAAGAAGCTCCTGCAAGGCTGAGAAAAGAAAGAGCTTCAGTCCAATCGCACCTTGCATTGTTCAGACTAACTTTGTCCATTTCTTCCTACGTACCTACCTCAAGAGAATCTACCATGAAGTCTTGAACTGGGCATCACAAAATTCAAGCTTTGTTACCCATATGCGCTACGACTAAAGAAACCCTAGACAGCAAATACTCTACCAGGCCGCTTAATCCGTTCATTTACGCAAAGCCATCCAAACTCAAATTCCAGACTGTCCGCAAAACCCCATCATGTCATCCTGGGATCTTCTGGACGAAAAGGAGGAGGCGGAGCTTCACAAGACGCGTCTCGTCAACATTGAAGAGAAGCCCTTCAAGCGCATCACCAAGAGACTTGCCTCCATCACAGCTATCGCAAACGCCCGAACGAAGCAACAACCTACTCCCCCTCCCGAGGGCGCAAACGGCGAGAAGGAGAAGACCGAATCTAAAGAGGAGACCACAGCCAAGGAGATCCGCGAGATCGACCAGATCAAGGAAGACCTCACCCTCGACTTCGCCGCCTTCGACAGCAGCATTGCCCGCCTGCAATTCCTTCTCGACGCCAACGTCCGCGAGCGCGAGCGCTACCAGGCCGACCAGAAGCGCATCCTCGAAGAATGCCAGAACGTACGCGACAACAACACGAAGCTCCGCGAGCAGCTCGACGGCGCCAAGGCGACGCTTGCCCAGCGTAAGGAGTACGACAAGCTCGCCAACGCGCTGATGGCTAAGGGCCTGCGGCCGCGCGGCGAGCAGGAGTCGAACCTGAAGAAGCTGGAGGAGGAGATCCGCGACCTCGAGCGCGAGAGCGAGACGTACGGCGTGACCTGGCGCGAGCGACGCGACCAGTTCAGCAAGATCATGAGCGAGGGAATGTTGCTGCGCAGACAGATTCGCGACGAGAAGGAGGAGGTGGAGAGACGCGAGGGTATGAACGAGGACGAGGAGGACGGCGAGGCCTCGAGGGGTGGACAGACGCCGCGCCATGTCTCCAGCGGCAACGTCACGCCCCACCCCGACAGTGGCGCCATACCGAGAGCTACGCCCGGCCACGACGGCCAGTCGGAGGACCACTCGGAGGGATTGAAGCCCCGACCTGGAGGCGTCGGAAGTTTCTCGCGGTCTGGCAGCGCCGTGCCGAGTCAGGGCGGTACACCTCGTCCCCAGCCCGACGACGATGATGAGGTAGAGGAGGGCGAGGATGTTGAGATGGACGACAGGCAAGACACGCAGCTCACCTCTGGAGGCGACACGCCTCAGATCACCGTTGATGCACCGGAGGAAATGGAGATGGATTCGTAGGAGGTTGCTAAGTTTTGGGAAGACGTGGATAAGATGATAGAATCACTCAATTGAGATACCCATTAACCTGGTCTACTGATTTGTTCATGACGCCTGCCTGCCCTTGATCACAACGCGTTTCCTGACCTGCTACAAAGATACACACATACACGACCCGGCATTAGCCATCTCAAGCCGAAGCTTCAGCCGAGGGGATGTCGACGGTGTAAGTCTTCTCCTCCTTGCCCTTAGACAGCGCCAGCTTGGCCGTAGCCAGCTCCTCCTCCGTGGCGCCGCCGCTCTCCGCCAGAGCGATCTGCTCCTCGAGCTTGACCGTAGCGTCCTCAACCCGCGTGCGCAGGGCAGGGAAGACCTTTTCCGTCTCCTCCGCCGCAAGCTTCTGTTCGGGTGTCAGCACTGGACTGTGAGGTCGAAATGTAAACCGGAGTGGAAACGCACCAACTGCTTCAGCATGTACTCGCGGTTGCCGTCCTCATCGGGCTTGCCTTCCTTGATCTCGGCCTCCAGCGTGGCGACCTTAGCTTTCTGCTGGATGAGCTCCTTCTCGTAGGAGATCTCCTCCTTGAGGAGACGGGTGACGGCCAGGGTCGCGACGGTGAGCTGAGAAGGAGGAGCCATGATGTCGGTTGTGGTGTTTTTCTGGTGGAAGTGGGGGTTGATTTTTTTAGAATGGAGTAGATAGTTCAGTTGAGTTCCGAAGTGCGTCTGGAGTTGCAGTAGTGAGGTTAGAAGGATGGGTCCGACCGCGCTTTAGAATGACTTCTCTTGATGAATATGTTCTGGGAAATTGCCTACCTACCTCGCAATATGCTTGGCTGGTTGTTTTCCTGCTTTTGTTTACACGGAATCCCGGCCTGTCTGGCTACGTCAAGGTGCGCATGCTGGTGCCTTGGAAGATCAGAGGGGAACCTTGGTGGGGTGTTTGGCGGGGAACACCCCTGGCAACCTTACCTCAGCGCTCATCGGACTTCTCACGTCAACTCCTCAACATCACTTCACTTTGCTCAGTACAACTATCGTATTTGCTGCTTGTGATCGCCAGTACAACACGACGTATTTGCATCAAACTAGAGGAAACAACAAACCTCTATCAAAAACATCCGATAAGGGAGTCATCAACGTCAGAAATAACTTCACGATGGCCTCCCTCATACGATCACACACTACACCCTTCGAAAGTATGAACTTGTTTGAAGCTCATTTCAAAATTACGGTGTCACTCAGAATAACCAGCCTTGTAATGCTATATGGATGGTGATTCGCGAGACCGGAGTACCAGGCTAACGACCCTGGGATGTGTCGAAAACAGTGGGATTCGTTGGATATCTCGACCCATACCTCCAAGCCCAAAGTTTAGGTTGACCGGCTTCATTCGACTGTTCAGCAACACTAGGCTATACAGGAGTATAAATTGGCACGTTACCATTTCTCCCATACAGCCACACACCTATGACCTACCTATATGCTCGTTGAGCCACTCGGGAGCCTTGACTATCTTCGCCATAGTCTCGTCAGCGTCAACAGGGCTTTGAATTTCTTTTAGTCCAAAAGACCGCTGGTCCCGGGTCCGATAAGCTTGTTGGCGTGTTGGGCAAGCGCGCGAAACTTATCGGGGAACGTAATGCTCTCTCAAATCTTGTCGAGCCCCTCCGAGGTGTTTTCCATGAGGGAGAATTATTCCGCAGGTTAAGTCTTGATACCCTCGGACACGCCTGTCCCATTCAAGTGGTGGATAGAACAGAGCTGCTCCTAACGAGTGAGAACCTTGGTCGGTGTCGAGACTAACCAAGACTCCTATCAAAGATTGGCCACAAGCTTTGGATTCGAAACTCTTCGGTTTCTTCCTCCTCATATTCGAACTCATCATCGTCGTCAGAATCAGGCACTGCGTTGGCAAGAAAAGATGCTGCCGTAGATGAGCATGGTCTGATATAAGGTAACTGCTAGCGATACGCCTTGGTGGCGGCTTCCATCTCATCGGGGGCGGAGTAAACACCTGTAGCTGTCAACAAGTCGCTTGAAGAAACTGATGACACCGATCAACGGCGTGGGTGTTGGTTCGATATGGAATTCAGCAGGGCGGTTCCGGTGTGGGTCAGACTTTGCATCCAGACGGTTGCTGCCTCCAGGGCTATCAAGTGTACCTGCCATCCATCCAAAATGGGAAGGTGTCTCTTAGTTCGACGAAATCAGTTTCGTGTAGGATGGCCACCTTACGAATCCCTCTACTCACATTCGGAAGGAAGTGCATAGTTCGAATTGCCTCTCGTCAACGTTTGCAAAGCATCTCATGCCCTGCTTCCTTTGTGTCTTCAGTCTTCACACCCCTCCTCTCTGTGGTATACAGACGTACCTCAGTGGTATTTCTGCGATGGTTGTCCCGAACGGCGAAGTCGGTGGGGTGGAGTTGTCACTCATCTCAGAGTGCAGCAAGCTGATGTCTGCGAGACTCCATCTGGAACGCGACATCTATCCGCCACATAACGTCTTATCACATAGGAAAACCTTTATCCCAGCGTTTGGAAGGTAGCATGTACGGGAGATCGACGGTGTGACCGAGACGCCAGTATGGGTCTTGCAGATCGAGCTGAGTTCCCGTTGCCTTTTTCGTCTTCGTCTCCGCCTCATTTGGGAATTGCGATGAGGGGGAACCAGGCTATTAGGTCGATTCTACACACTAATGCATGGATTTGCGGGCTGCAGACAATAGTAGATTGTGCCCGAACTTGGCCTGGGCATCAATCTCGCCATAGCCCCAGTCCCTCACTGCCTCCGCCATGAGTGCACAGGACAGCAATTTCTCAAACTGAGGTATAGGCGAACGCAAACGTCCTCCATACTCTCCCTGTCGACTAATTCGTCTTCACAGTTTGATGTACAGTCTATCGTCATTCGGAAACACACAATGAATCGTCATGTCATCGCGTGCCTGCTCATCGCCATGGGCGCTCGGTGCGTCTTGGCCGATCCCGGAGACGACTTCGCGAATAACCTCTTCACCGACTTATCTCCTCTTCTTGCATTGTTCGGCGAACGCGTCACCATGCAATTCCTGAGCCAAGCCATAGGCGTGGCCGACTGTATCATGTTGGCCATGGCACCCCTAGGTATCATCACCATTATCGTCAGTGCCATTAGAGTTGGTGGTCCCATGTGGCTCAAGGCGACTATCGGAAGAGCGCGCGAAAGCTTGTCCAGGGCTGAAATTGAGCTCATGTCGTCGACATCCAAGGAAACGAGTGAGCTTTGGGACGGGCACAATATTGTCCGTTGTTCGGGCGAAGGCGAGATATGGCAGTTCATCTGCCTCGTCCCCAAGAATCAGGATAAGCAAAAAGCTGCTGCTCCAGAAATTGAGGTTATGAGTCTGGATGAAGCAGAGGATCAAGATCACAAGTTGCTCAAACCAATAGGTATGGTTTCGGACGTAAAGCCCCTCGCACGAAGCAAGCTAACTCGTCAGCAGAAGTGACCGCGTGGAAAAGGTTCCGAAAGACCACATACGATGTGAAAACCTATGTGGAACGTGGTTATGTAAAAGCACGGAGAGCATTTCAGAATCAAGCACCAGCAGCGGAACCAAGTTCCTTGGAGCAGGGGAATTCAACGCCACTTTGTCCAGGGACATCTCAATCGCCCACCGCAAAAGCAGAGAGTCCCGCGCCTCAGAAGATCTACGTCGTACGAGATCTTGACTCCGCCCCGCCCAACCTAACACTGAACTGCCATACGTACTTCAATCGGTACTACCACTATGCCGTTGCTCTTGTTGGAATAGTGCTGCAGTTGCTGGTACTTTTTTATGCTGGACTCATCACATACCGCCCGACCTGGAAAGAATACTTCTTGAAAAACGACAAGCCCATGGATAGTTATGCGTTTCCAACCGTCGCTGTCGGTACCGTTCTACTAGCAATCGGAGTTTTCCTCTGCGGACATGTCGTGGAGACAAGCACAGAGGAAGACCACTATAAGGCGGCTGAAGGTTACGATGCATACATCGTCTGGCTTCAGAGAAGTAATACCGTCGGCGACCAAAAGTTCGACCCATGCGCAGTATATCCTGTCTGCAAAAGACAATATGTCACATTCTCACGCCGAAACACGGATCATGATGTAAAAACTCCGGATCAGACCAAGGGCCGACCGAAGCAGTTGCACGGAAATACCGAAGGAGGCCTGGAACTTCTGGCCATGATCGCAACAGCCGTTTGCCTCGTTGGATACCTAATTCAATTCATTGGCCTCCGGGGGATGAACTGGTCCGCTTCCATCGCTCAACTTGTCGCAGTCGCCTTGATGACCATACTCAGAGCGTTGGTCCGACGTGACCTCGACAAGAAGCCAATGTTCAATACCTTAGTGAACGGCTATGAGATCGATTGGTTGGCGATCAGTCTGATGTCCAAACAGGCTTCATGGCGCGGGTCGACGGACACACTCGCAACAAAGTCGGCGGCCGGCAAAACTGCGAATGAAAAGGACTCCGCCAAGTCAACGCCCGACCACTTGCAAAGGCCCCTGTCTTCATGGACTGTTATCACAGGGGAGGAGCATACATCGACCCTCAAATCGAGTCCACCACCTGATGATGTCAGCCGTGCCCCTTCGGTTGCCATGGAGGCTGCTACCAGAGCTGACCAAGCTCTCAAAGCCCGCATACGGCTCGGCAAACTCGCAAACTGGCGGGGTCCCGTCGCAATCGAGGCTGTCAAGCTTACGGAGGCGATAGAGGCGGCGATGGCTGCGTTGGTACCAAAGTCAAAGTCATCATCCATATTCTCTTGGAACATACCCGTGAGATTTGAGGAAGTCGACGTGACAATCAGCGTCCAGATCAAGTGGATAAATGGAGCTTGGAAAGCGCCCGCTGATAAAATCGAAGCAATCCTGTCTTTGTGGCTCTATTCTGTCAAGAGCCATTATGGACAAGAGGAAGGAAGCAGCCGCAGCAAGCAGACATTCGAGGACGAGAGCGACTCCCTCCTGCGTGCGAAGGAGTCACCAGAAGGAGTGGGCTTGAAAGTCTTTGGTACAAATTGCGAAAAGCGGCAGCTCCTCAGGGACCTCCGATGGTGGATTCCAAAAGGAATCGAAGTGCTTGAAGTTCTCGAGATCTGGCCCTCTGAAAAACCGCCTAGCTTTACTGGTGGCAAAACCATCGATTCCATCCAGTGCAGAGTCATTGGTAGCGGTATGAAGCTCGGCTTCACTTCCAAAAGCAGCCAAGACCCGGACAAGCTTGTGGTTTATAATGCCAATCCTCTCCAATTCAAGCAGCAGCTTTCAGATGATGAGTCTGACGACAAGGCTGACGATGAGTCCCTTCACGACGACCATGATGTCGAAAACACAACGCCATCGAATTGCTTAGAAACATGGCTTGCTATCGAGTCTTTCGACTCTCTGGAAAAGCTCTATGTCCAAGATCTATTCTTTGCTTTCATGTCCGCGATGGCGACGTGCGGCGATGTCGAACTCCTGACAATTGAAACAGAAGTCGTACCGCAAAAGAGCAACGACGACCCAATAAACAATCTGAGACAGTTCGCGCTCACCAATACTACTCTCTCCCGCCTGGTCCATGAAGTTCACGGAATAGGCATTGGCAGTCTACAGGAGGCCTGGTTTGGTCTCATCACCCCCTTCAGCTTGCACGAGAAGCTCCCAATTGGCAATTTATTGACTCAACATGCTCAACTCACCGTCGAAAAATTCCAAAGCGATCGTGAGTTCGATAAAATGGGCGAGGCTTGCTGTTGGATGCTGGACCAGGCCATGACGTTCAACTGGCAGAGCCACGCTAGACCCAGAGCTCTTGCAATGGTTCTTCGTCTCTTATCTGATATGAGACTAGTTCATACCCAGGCTGAGAAGCAGTCCCATTCAGACAAACGCTCTGCCGAGATGTTTTTGAGCAGCCTATCTCCCAAGATCAAGAGCTGGAAGAAGAGACTACGCAATCTTCCTCGACCTCAGTCACGTGAGTGGCTGGACGAGTGTATACGTCTAGATTTTGTTCAAGAATTTCAAGAGGATGACCCAACAGAATATGGAATCCCGAGAGGATGTCTTCTGGCACTTGGGAAACCCATACGACAGGCGATGAGGAGGCTGGCGAGTTTCTCCAGATGGTCGAATTTCCTTGACTGGACTTCCTGGCATTATGCTTCGACACTTACGCAGGAAGACGAGGATATTTGTCAGGCTTTCTTGACTCATGTCTTTGTCGACAGCCCTGATATATGGGGTTGGACGGTTCTTCATTATGCTTGCTGGCAACAACGTGAGTGGCTTCTCAAGATGGCCTTATCTCAGGGGGCAAACATAAACGCCCGAGGAAATGACGGTGTGTCTCCAATGCATTGTGCAGTAAGGTCCGGAGACAAAAGCATCGTGAAGCTCCTGATCAATCAACCGCCCGACCTACAACAGTTTCAGAGTAATCCGGACTATCTTGGAAGGCACCCGATCCACTGGGCCGCTGTGGAAGGTCACGTCGACATTGTTGAGCTTCTTGAAGGCGGCTTGGACCTACAGGACGCTCAAGGCAATACGGTGCTACATCTCGCCGTTATGTACCGAGATACGTCGCTAGTCAAATTTCTTATCAACAGGATGACAATCAAGACGATCAATCGACGCAATCTGGACTTACGTTCGGCACTAGGATGTGCCATGGAAGATTATGAAGGACGGGAAGGCATCGTTACGATGATCGTAGAAAAAGGGGCGGACTTGTCTAGATGGGGATCGCCAACCATGCCATTGCTCAATTATGCCATCCTCAGACATCTTCCTGAATTAGCCAGACTGATGTTGGATAAAGGCGCACCAGTGGACGAAGTGGACATTTTTGGGCAAGTGGCGCTACACATAGCCTTGATCTGGGGCATGGATGTGGACACCATCGAAGCTCTCCTCAAATCGGACAGGAGCATGAATGGGAATGCTGTCACTCTCGAGATGCAAGATTCGGAAGGTAGAACGCCTCTACATATTGCAGTCAGCAACGCCCATGAAAGACTCTCGGGATACAGAGACTTCCTCAGTCGCTTCCTAGAGTACAACCCCGAAATGAATTTCAACATCACGAACAAAGAAGGCAAAACAGCTCTTGAATTGGCTAAAAGACCGGAAATCAGAGACCCTCTGATCGAACAAATCGAGAAACAGAAAGAAGCTCGTCGGCAGCGGCAGGAAGAATCCGAAACGGCAGCTTCTTCAGCACAGTGACACTCACGTCATCGTGTCATATCACAGCGCTGGTCTGGCCTAACACACCAACTCTTCTTCACAAGCGCAACCCCACGCTGGTACCACATCACATCCCATTTCTCAAGCTCCATCATCAGCGTCACCAGTACCCTCAGTAGGGCTTCACTTGAACCTCCCGAGCTTCTTCCTCACGAGACGGATCTGTGATCCCACACACCAGCAGACCAGTCTTCATCTTAAGGGGAAAATGATAGATAGGGTGGACACCAGACAATAATACATCCATTCTAAATCCTCACTCTTAGCTATACAATATTTTCCAAACATACACACCATACGCAACAAATGCATTACCGCATAAACGGGACGCAAAAGAAAACCACCAATGCTGATTGACCAAGAGGAGGACAACGCTACTGCAATACATCATACAAAAGAAAATACCCAGGCAACTTTTTTTTTACAGCATACTACTACGCCTTACCAGTACTGACGCTCTCTACCCTCAAACACGAAGTTGAGCACGACGGCGAAGAACAACGACCCGCAGAGCGCGCTGGGGCCCCACTTGTCGTAGAACTTGGCGGCCCTCCTCGTGCGGATGGCCCTGCTCCTGTACAGGTAGATGACGACGGAGTAGCAGAGGGAGAGGATGGCGAGGAGGGTGAAGACTCCGGCGACGATGAAGGAGGATCTGGTGGGCTTGGAGCCGAAGTTGAGGAGGGTGACGGCGACGGTGCCGACGTAGATGGAGTATTCGAGCTAGAAGAGAAAGTTAGCGTTCTGACGATACAATGATTCAGGCAAACGTGAACTTACCCAGCCGAGGAAGGTCCTCTCGGCCGCAAAGTAGACCTTGGGCTCGACGCGGACGGGGACGTAAATCTTCTTGCCCTTGGGCGCCTTAAATCTCTTGGTCTGAATGGGACCGTCGCCGTAAAGCGCCACCAGGTTCTCTCGTCGGGGAATCTGGGAGCCCTTGGGGTGAGGTACGACCGCCTTCAGCACCTCCACCGCACCCGCTCCGAGAGCGCGAGCCTTCGTTGACGCGAGAGTCGAATAGTAGGTCAAGCCACCAACCCTGCGAGCCTCCTCGAGGGCCTCATCGGCGTCGTACTCCTCGTCCGAGTCGTATAAAAAGTCCTCCTCGACAAGGTCGTTGGCGGTCTGGTCTTCGATGTCGGCGGCGCCGTTCCTGGCTCCGTGACGGCTGGACTCGCCATTGGAAGCGCCATTTGACGCACCGTTATTGCTGGGGATCAAAGGTCCGTCTTCATCGTCGGAGTCGAGATCGTCTTCGTCGTCTTCATCGTCTGATGTCGTGACCGTGTTCGACTGTATTTGTCTGTGGATACCAAAGTCATGCGTGGCCGGCTTCCGAATGTCGACATCCATTTGGGGCATCCAGAACGGGAGCAGGTTGATACGCTCTGGGAATAAGCAGGCAACTCCGTGGATAAACTTGGAGAACTTGGGCACAGCCTCGACCAAGTGACTGGAGATGAGCTGGCGCACCCATTCCGGGGGCTCCTGGCCAAGTTGCGTCTGCAACTTGACTTCCAGAACGGCATAGGGGAAACGCACAACATCGCTTGGGGGGAGCTGTGAGAAGGGATAGTCAATGCCGATATCCATCCGCCTCCAGTTGTCGCCAGAGCGTTGAACACCATCGAGGTTGTCCTCCCGAACCATGGTCAGCTCCGTATCGAGGGAGATACGGACACGAGCGTCGGCAGGGAGCTGGAAGGCAGTACGGTTATAGAAGGATCGGCACACGGGCTGGTATCCCTTCTTGAGCACCGAGTACTGAACCTCCGCGGCGAGTCTCTCGTCTTCGGCAATCTGCTTTTCAGGCTTCTTGCCCTCTTTGCGCGCCTTTTCGAATAAAGCTGCCGGGAGAAGCTCTCCCCGCATGTACGAGTTGACGTTCTTTTCTTTAAGCGAGAAACGAGCCTTGACAGACTTCTCTCCGGTCCAGTCCTCACGATGTGTCTTGCGCTCAACAAAGATGTTCTCGCTCTGCATACCACCGTACCATCTGAGACGGATGGCTTCTGCGCCTTCGGTTTTCTTCAAACGTCCCTCGTACAGGTCCCACTTTTCCGGGTTGTCGTAGTAGATGGATGTGATCGCCGAGTCCGCAGTCTCGAACTCCTTGCTGGCGTTAAAGACCAGGACAGGCAGATGCTTCAGGATGATGAGCTTCAGTTCCGTGACGTTGTCTGGATGAACCCAGTACTTGGTCGTGTTACGGACGAAGCTTCCTTGGCTACCGCCAGCTGCGCTGTCGCCCTTGACCGGGTTGCCTCTGGTTCTGACCAAGTCGTACAGCTTCGAGAGCTTGACGACTGACGCGTCGTAATTCTCCTTGTAAAACGGCTTCGCCTTGAGTCGGGTATCGAAGACGGGTTTCAGGTGCCAGCCAGTCATTTTCTGTGCGCCATTAGCCTTACATACTCCCCTCGGCGACGAGCCGCGAACTTACGTCGTGCTTCTTGATAATCTTATAGAACCCAGTGTAGTTGAGCTGGACAAACTTGGCGAGATCGTGGACGTCGGCAATGATGTCGCTCAAGTCCTCCTCCAAGAGCATGAACTCCTCCTCAGGGGGCCCATCTTCGCGAAGACCTCGCTCGTTGAGACGGCTGACGACGCTCTCCACCTCGCGCTGGCTCACGGCGATGCGCCTCGAAATCTCCATCGCCTTAACTTGTTGTTTCGTGTGGACCTTGTCGAGCTCGGCCTCGAGCTTCTTGACGAAGCGGCCCTCGTCCTCCTCGGACCATTCCCTCTTGACGCTCTTCCCCTTGCCATTATCGGTGGTCGAGGTTATCGGGCCGGTGGCCGTCTTCAGGTCGGCCTTGAGGGCATCGTAATCGATGTAGTACCACTGGTACTCGCGGATGATGCTCGAACGGAGCTGCTCGCCGAACTTCATGACGACGATGCCAGGACGGGCGCGCCAGGGTTCACTGGGAGCTAGACTCGGTCGCCAAGTACGTGACTGTGTCTTCAGGTCTTGAACAATTAGCATGAGGAGTTGCCTCGCCGAAGGGGGACCATTGTAGTAAAATCAGAGTCTTCCGGAGAAAACGTTCCAAGCCATGCCAAACTCGGTGCACCCTTTGTGTAAGGTACCTTATTTCCAGACGAAATGGTCCCAGGGAAACGGTGGAGTCGGTTGGGAGAAGTTTTCGTGAAAGACGGGTCTTACCTATGCAGCTCTAAGCCGTACTAGCCGATTGCGCAGGAGTGATATGTTCCAGATGTTGGAGTAAAAGATGCGCGCAGGTTGAGGAACGTTCGCCTGGCGCGGTCGGGTCGTCCAGGCAAAACAAATGGGAGACGCACGATGGAATGGAGGCGGCCGACGGTTTACGAGACAAGCTTCCCGCAGGGGGCTGCAGCACTGACGATGGAGCCCCAGACCCAGCAGAGTGCAGCTTAGACCCGGCTAGCTCCAGGTGGTCTGGGCCCAGTATCCGCTGGTATCCAGAACTCTTGGCAGGGGGCATTGGCCAATTGCAACCGGTAAAAGAGCACGTGCGACTGTACGTCACAGCGCCCTTTAGCGGGAGGGACACCGGAAGGATTTTTTTTTTCAGGTGTGGAGGGGTCGGCGGGGTGTCCGCGCCGGAGATGTGAATTATTAGGTTGCGCCGGCACAATATCGAAATTCCTTGCCGCACAACGGTCCGTCTCCCCGGCTCCCCGATCCCGATCGACGCCGTTTGCAGACCCGAAATCCTGCTTTTCGATCCGGAACACCCCCGAGTACGGATTGCACCCTCGAAACGGCCCTCTTCCCCCGGAACCGCCCCTACACTCGCAGTCATGGCGATCGACGACTCGATGCAAGCGCGCATCACCACCGACTGCCCGGAAGAGACCAGGCAAATTCTCCTTCACGCCTGGAGCCATGATACCACCGAGTTGAAGAAGCTGCTCGACGCCCCGGGCAAGGCGAGCACGCAAGACCCCACGACCGGCGAGACTCCCCTGCACGCTGCGATCCGCGCCTGCGGCCAATTCAAGGAGGACGACGATGTCGAGGAGGCCAAGGAGACGGTCGAAGAGCTTTTCCTGAAGGGAGCGATCTGGAACGACGTCGACTCCAACAACGAGACGCCGGGCTGTCTCGCACACCGCCTGGGCCAGACTGAGCTCTACAGGCTCTGCCTAGAGGCCGGCGTGCGCGCCGAGCTGCTCTTCGGCCTCCTGGACGGCTACGAGGAGCTCTCTTCTGGCGACGAGATGGACGAGGACGAGGTCGAGGTCACCAATGGCGAGAACGGCGAGAGCGCTGCCCAAGAAGCGGAAGCATCCGAAGAAGCCCCTGAACTCGTCGCGGTGGCAGAGCCGGAGAAGAAGTTCGTGCCACCCACCGTCGCCGACCCGGACGTCAACTCCGAAGAGTACCTCCGCTCGAACCTGACCTACTCTGAGGGCAAGCTGGTCGACGACGGCGGCAACGGCGTCATGATGGCTTGGGAGACGGAAATCATGCGCAAGAGCGTCGACGCCGTCCTGCCGGGCCTGGCCGTCGGCAAGCGCATCCTCAACGTCGGCTTCGGCATGGGCATCATCGACGCCATGTTCGCCGAGACGCATCCCTCCAGACACCACGTCATCGAGGCGCACCCGGAAGTGCTCGAGCACATCGACAAGCCGGACTCCAAGTTTGGCGCGGCGTGGGAGGCGAGCGGCCCCGAGGAGGGCGCCTACAAGATCCATCGGGGCCGGTGGCAGGACATCGTGCCCAAGCTGCTCGAGCAGGGTGAGATCTACGACGCCATCTACTTCGACACCTTTGGCGAGGACTATGGTCAGTTGAAGATGTTCTTCACCGAGTACATCCCCGGCTTGATGGATGAGGCGGGCCGTTTCAGCTTCTTCAACGGGTTGGGAGCTGATCGCAGGATATGCTACGACGTCTACACCAAGGTCGTGGAGATGCACGCGGCGGACGCGGGCATGGACGTTGAGTGGGACGAGATGGACGTGGATATGAAGGGTCTTGAGGAGGCAGGCAAGGGCGAGTGGGAAGGCGTCAAGCGTCGGTACTGGACTTTGGACAGTAAGTCTTCCATTGATATTGTTTGCGCGCACACACTGACACAGAACGCAGAATACCGGCTGCCGACGTGCACATTCCTGGGTTAACTTCCAGGTAGGGATCCTGATTGTATAAGCTATCTAAAGGGTATGGCGTATCACCACTTGAGCCCATGCAGATAGAGCCGAATCAACACCATCCCTTCTAATCCTGACATTTTTACTGCTTTTGGTCCTCATATCACATCTTGGTTGATTATTTGAAGTTCTCGGGATGCAGGATACCAGCCATGTTGCCCTCCTGGACTCGCTTCAGAGTCAAAGCGGCAATAAGAGCGGCACCAACACCGCTACCATCCTCAGCGGCGAGGATCTCAATGGGGTCCTCCTCCTTGGCGTTCTTCTTAGCGGGCCAGTCAAGAATCTCGCGAAGGGCCTGAGCACCACGAGCCTTGAAGTGGGGGTACTTGTTAAACACGGAGCCGTCGGCACCGACGTGGCAGCTCTCGTAGCCCTTCTTCATGCAAATGGCGGCGACACCGCATGCGGAGAGACGCGCAGCACGAGTGCCGATAAGCTCAGCCAGGCGACGGATGAGCTCCAACTCGGGGCGAGTGGGCTTGAGGTTGAGCTTGGCGATGAACAGATCGTAGGTCTCCTGCAAGTTCTCGAAGGGGTCGCTGTATTCAGTTAGCCTTGCTATCAACCGCATGGTGACATCAACAACTTACTCCTCAACCGCGGACAAGAAGGACGAGTCGAGCGTGTACGCCTTGCGCAACAAAGCGATGTCCTGACCCTCGAAGATGTGGACATTCTTGTTGTCGTGGAGGTCAACCAGGACGAGACGGAAGATCTCGCCGAGGTAGAGGCCGGCAATCATCTTCTCAAAGGCCTGCTGACCGGGGCGAGGGGAGTCCTTGTCGATGATGATATCGTAGGGAGTGCGGGGGAGAACCTTGTGCTCGTTGTCGAAGGCACCCCACTCGCAGTTGATGGCCATAGGAGTGTCGGGAGGCAAGTTCATGTGGGCGAGCTTGGGAATGGAGCCGCAGTTCTCCATGTAGGCAGCGTTGCAGCCGGTGCCGAAGATGCAGCCGATCTTCATCTTGGTATCAGTGTAAGCCGAGGCGATCAGAGTTCCGGTGGTGTCGTTGATCAAAGCCGTCAGCTTGATGGGGACGCCCTATGAAGATGTCAGCTCTCAGCTGGGAATATCAGAGTCTTCAGCTTGCTTACTCTCTTGTCCAGGGCAGTCTCGAGGAAGGGGACGACGTTGTGGCCCTCGACTCCAGAGATGTCGAAGCCCTTGGTCCATCGCTGCAGAATACCCTCATCGATGTAGTTCTGAGTAGCAGGGTAGGAGAAGGTGAAACCGAGGGGAATCTTCTCGGACTTGGGGTGGTCGGGGTGGTGAGTCTCGATGAACTGAGCCAAGCAGTCGGCGATGTATTCCCAGAGCTCATCGGACTGTCCAGTCTTAAGCTCCTCGGGCATGCGGTACTTGGACTGAATGATGTCGAACTCAGACTTCTGGTCCGTCAGGGTGATCTCGCAGACACGGAGGTTAGTGCCTCCCATATCCAATGCGAGGAAGGTTCCAGTCTCGTAGCCATCGGGGAAAGACATGACCCAGGTCGGGTTCATGGGCTGGTAATGAGGTTAGACAACAGCAAGCGACTAAATTCTGAGCGTTAGACTCACGATGCTACCGCCCTCAACACTCAGACCTGCACTATTGTTAGCTGCTGTTTTGATGTTGACCTGCAATACGCGTAAGACTTACCCTTGTCAAGCTCAGAGATGAAGTGCTTGCTGATGGCCTTGAGCTTCTCAGTGGGAACAGTGAATTGCTGCTCCAACTTCTTCACCTCCTGGAGAAGGTCCTTGGGCACATCGGCCATCGAACCTGTAATTTTCATAACCATGGTTAGTAATGCCTCTGAGAATGGAAATTTTGACAAGTGACAAGAGTAGCTTGCTTTTCCGTGAAGGAGTGAAGAAATCCGTGTGGTGATAAGAGCGCTCCCTTGTGTGGGGCGCGATTGCCTTGTCCACCATGACCATGATGAAAGGATGATGGAGCTGTGCTTGGGAACACTGGTCTCAAGCTATTCGCTTGGTGATCGAGGGTTTGGGTCCTGCTGTGAGGGTATCACCAGCAATCGGGTGTTGGGAGTGCCGCTTTGGTCTGGGAAACAAAGAACAAGCGACAGGCAAGCAGGCAGAAGCGGTCAGGACAAAGACTGCCTAGACACTGAGCAAGCTGAGAGAAACGGCGCTTGCCAGCTTGTTATACAAACGACAGATTTGGCAAAAGAAGAAAGCTGGGGAGAAGGTGGGGGAATGTCTAATAAGTGAGACCATGTCTTCCAACTCAACACTAGACTTGTACGCTTTTCCCAATGAGATGGAGATAGCTTGAAAAGCTACCCCTTCGGCTTGGGGTATCTCCGTTGGAGCTGCCCAGCAAAAAGCCCAGCCCTGTGGCGCGCCATAGATCCCGACGCGGAAGCCACGAGAAACGTCAAAATACCAGCTAGGGATGGTGATGGAGGTGTGTGCAGGACTGGGATAGGATGATGAGGCGTTGAGGAGGACAGGAGGGTGTGACGGCTGCATGGTTTGCGGCGCGGCGTAAGAGCTGTACACCTGCGAGCACCTCCTGGACTGAGGCATCTCGAGTATTGTCTCAACGACGAATAGAGCCCGAAACATCCCCCTCCATCTCGAATCTTCCAAGGCGCTCCGGGGTAATTGAAGAAAAAAGTGGTGAACTTACCCTTCCTAGAGGGCGGGACCTTGGGACCAAGACCAACCATTTTGACCGAGAGCTCTGGATCGCGGGGTAAAAATGATGAGGGGTCGAATTGAGGCGGTAGGTGGTGAAAAACGGGATGATGCCGTGGCTTTCACAAAGCTTAAATCGGGATTCCGACGATGGCGAAAAAGATAAAAATTCGTCGGTATCGTAGGTGGGCGGTCAAGCGGTTCGTGGTGGTTAGGGATATTGATGGCTGTGACGTTGAGGAAAAGGTAAAGGGACGTGGATCATATGACCGAGAAGGTGGTGAGGTGAGAGGTCGAGGTAGGTAAGGTAGGTAGGCAGAGTGGGCTCCAACCTGTCAGGTCCTGCGCCGATTGGAACCTTGAGCAGACCTCACTCAGCGAGCTGCACCTTTGCTGCACACGTTGTGGCCCCCTTGCCTTGGCTTGAGTCGAATCCTGACCCCCGAGACCGCCAGTCCGAAGTGACCGGCCAGTCGCACCATGGCCAATTGCTATCTCAGACATGGTATTTTTTTTCTTAGCATCTCGTCCCACTGCTCCGCGGATCGCAAGCCGTGAAGCCTCATCCAGTGGTTACTACGAGATTTGCAGCGGCCTTACTCAGCTGGGATGCGCCCAGGAAAGCCATGCGTTCATAGCAGGATATACTGCGCAGTGGACCTAGGGTTGACCTGAACCTAATTGTTCGGAGTCTAGGGAGCGGAGAAACTTTTGAATCAATTGTGATGTTACGGAAACCCGCAACACCTATTTGAGTTGAGGATTTCCCCGATACATGACAAGTATGCGTAGAATAAGAGACCGCCTATTTTGACTGTGTCGCGCTGGCTATATTGACTGTGGTCCGTGCGCGGGAAAAGTTCTAAGTTTTATATCTAAGGTTTTAAGTATTATACTTAAGAAATAAAATATTTAAAAAAATATAAGTAAATAACTTAATATACTATATATATATAAATATTTTTAATATATTTTATATACTTTATAATAGCTTAGTTATTAACTTATTATATAATAATATAAATAAAATAAAATAACTATAAACTATATAAACTATATTAAATATATATATATAATAAATATTATAAATATAGTAGTTAATATAATCTAGAAAATAAATATTATATTTAAAAAAGTATATAAATAGCTTTAATTAAATAATAAGATATTAAATCTTATTTAAATAATATTATAATAAATTTATTTATAATTATAAATAGTATAATATAAAATTATATTACTTAAGTTATTAATTTAAATATAATTTTATACTTATTTTATATTTAATAATATTATAGTTAGAAGTTTAAGTACTTAAAATTTATATATAGCGCACGGACCACAGTCAATGCAGCCAGCGCGACACAGTCAAAATAGGCGGTCTCTAGAATAAACCACTCCACGGCTATCTGTTAGGTACACAGCATACCTACCCCAAGGTCTGGAGCTCTCGGTGTGCTATTTGGAGTTAATGAAAGAGACCTGGAACTTGCAGCTTACGAGAAAGCTGCATGCCCCACCAATACCCGAAGCCAATCGTCATTGCACAGAGCTCAATTGAGACGACCTGATGGCTGAGGTAAGCATGTAGAACAGCATCCGTGTGGCTGAACTGCCCTCTAGCCTCAGGTCAATCCGTTCCGCCGGTCTACGGGGATCCACGGACGTCCACGCGGCCTCTCCCCGCGGAAGGCTTAGCTCAGCGTTGAGCGACCGGTGGCACCTGCCAATCCCGAGGCAGGCGGTGCCGCTCTTATCCGGACTTATGCTGACCCGACCCGGCGGTTCCCAGCTGCGCATGGTCCGTGCATGTCGTCAAGCAACGTATCCGTAAGCTTTTTGGCTGGGGGTAGCTGTCTCAGGAGCCAGATCATCAATTCGGCAATGGAGTGAAAGCCCCAATTGCGCCTCAACAACCGCCTTTCTCCATCTTTGATTCTCACTGCCGGGAGCGCTCTGTCAATGAGCATTTCCCTTGAATTTCCCACATCATGAGAGCCTTCGCCATCGCCGCTGGGCTTCTGAGCCTGCTCTCCCCGGTTGTCGCAAGCTCCGCCGCGGCAGACAAGGTATCGGAAGTCAAGCAGCCAGCCGCCTTCAAGCCGCCTCAGGTCTTCAAGAACGCCAACCTCGTACACATCATCTCCCTCGAGAAGAACTACGTCAAGGAGTCAATCAATGTCCTTATCGAGAACATTGACAAGACCCCTCAAGATGAATACTACCTGCCCTTCACCCCCGACCAGATGTCGCGCATTGGAGCCTTCGAGGCCAAGGACAGGAAGAACCCCGAAGCTGGCCCTTTTGCTGCTGACGCCGTCGAGTACGATCCTTTGAGGTTGGTGCATGCCAGATGTTAAGGAATTCCCGCCATTGTATGGTGCTAACGGCCTAGCAGCGAGATCCAGTACTACAAGATCAAGCTCCCCGCGCCCTTGAAGGCTGGCGGCCAGCAGACCCTCAGCATCTCCTACTACCTCCTCAGAGCTTACAAGCCCCTCCCCGCCGCGATTGCCCAGGAAGAGAACCAATTCCTTGCATACGACTTCTCCGTGTACGCTCCTTCCGCCTACGTCACCTCGAAGCAGAAGACCGAGCTCAAGTCTCACTCGTCCAACATCCCCGACTACACCAAGCTCCCTGGCAGCGGTGATGTGAAGGAGTTCCCTCAGAAGGCAGGCTCGAAGCTCACCTACGGCCCCTTCGACGAGAAGCCCGCCGGCGCCGTTTCCCCCGCTCAGGTGCGATTCGAGTTCACCAAGCCCGTGACCCACGTCGCCACGCTCGACCGCGATATCGAGGTTAGCCACTGGGGAGGAAACGTCGCGTTCGAGGAGAAGTACGAGCTCTACCACCGCGGTGCGAACCTGTCCAAGCTCTTCAACCGTGTCAAGTGGCAGCAGTCGCAATACTACAACCCCAACACCTACGCTCTCAAGGAGCTGCGGTTCCCCCTGAAGGTTGGTAGTGCCGACGCCTACTTCACCGACGCTATCGGCAACGTTTCTACCTCGAGGTTCCGCAGCAACAAGCGCGAGGCTCTCTTGGAGATCAAGCCCCGTTACCCCGTCTTTGGCGGCTGGAAGTACCCCTTCACTATTGGCTGGAACTCGGATGCCAGCAACTTTGTCCGCACCGTCGACAGCTCTGGCAAGTACGTCTTGAAGGTGCCTTTCCTCGAGGGACCCAAGCAGCCCGAGGGTGTTGAGTACGGACAAGTCAACCTGCGCATCCTCTTGCCCGAGGGAGCAACGTAAGTTACACTCGTCTGCTAGATTCGTCTACAATCATCTCTAACGTGTCTTTAGGAACGTCAAGTTCTACACCAGCGTCCCCCAGACAGCCATCACCGATTCGGCTGTGGGCACCCACAAAACCTACCTCGACACCATCGGACGCACCTCCGTCGTCATCAAGGCGCACAACCTTGTTGACGAGCTCAGGGACCGCGAAGTTGTCGTAACATACGACTACTCGGTCGCTTCCGCGCTGCGCAAGCCTCTCATTGTCTTCGCCAGCATGGTCTTTGTCTTTGTTGCGGCGTGGGTTGTTGGAGGACTGAACCCGACGATCGCCAAGAAGAAATAGAGCGGACTCTAGAATTTGGAAGCGGCTTTTTCCTAGCATTGTACATGTAACATCAGGCGGGCATCTAAAAGCACGACGGAACGGATGGCTTTAGAGAATCATGATTGGACTGGCAAACTGATCTTCATGCGGATAAACCGTTGTCCCTTTTGCACTTTTCTGTTGGATGATGCTCATGATCCTGATGGGTAGGGGCTCAGGCCTACAAAATTACCCGTCGCTACGTCTGTCGGGGAGGGCTTCGAGAAGCCATCCCTGCTGCGACTCCTACAAGCCGCCGGAGAGATGCAGGCTGACGTCGCGGGCTGATCGAGGTGTGTGCGCGGTGAGGATGAAGTGTGAGTGGACCTGACGGGAGATCAGATCTGATGTACTCTATTAGCGATAGACAGAGAGGTCATCAATTAGACAGTCTCAAGAGTCGGGGACTCCCAGCCTGGTGCTTGCTGATTTCCTGTGTGCAATCTAGTTGTGAATTTCTTGCTTCTGCCTGCATGATAAGCTTGTAAACGACTGTAACTGTACCGGCCATTGCTACCGTTTCTTCGCCATCCCGTATTCTCTCAACGACCACTGCCCCAGCTGAGAACGTCGGGCTTTTAGAAGAAGCTTTCGTTTGAGGCCCTACACGATGCGCGACTCAAGTTCTGACTATCTACAAATTTGGCTTCGTCTTTAAAACAGAATCCAACTTCTGACCCTGAGCTCGATTTCGCAGGACGTCTCACGCGGATCAAACCCAGGTGGGGAGACCCTGGCTTTCGTAAAGCGGTCTGGACTTCTGGTGGGTGAGGCGGCGCCGTCACTAAAAGCAAGGATGGCAGACCCAGCGATGACCACCCCGCCGCAGCGCCGTCGATTGGAGCAAGGGTCGGAACCAGGGCAGCTTCGCCCACGAACCTGGAAGCAGTGATGCTGAGCCACTTATCCAACTACTGCAGGATAATACGTAAGGTGAAGCCTCGAGAAGGCCAGCCAACCAAGGCAATCCTTACGTTTGACGCAGGGTTTTCGGTGAGGGCCGTCGTCGCTTCGCTTTTTTTTTGGGTTCCCGGGCCCGTCTGATGAAATCGCTGCGAGGAGGAGGGGTGGGCGGACGGCAGACATCCATCCATCCCACTTGGGACGGATGACTGACTTGCTTCGCCTTGGCCCTGAGTCCCCTGACATAGTTGATGTACTAAGCCTTTGAACAACTGAGAAAGGATGGGGAATTGTTCACGCCAGATCTGCCTATGCGAGTTGGTTGGGAAATCATAAAAAGGCAGCCTGTCGCCCACACCCCGTTCCAGTCTGGCGCGTCGTATAGCCTGACACTTAACGCAGAAGAACATTCGCTGAATCTTCTACCCGCATCTATCGTCTACTACTCCGCCGGCCTCACATCTAACTGGCCAACATATTCCTATCAACTACACCCACGCTCTAAGCTTCAGAGTACTGGACATCGAGCAACTCACACGAGTAAACAACCGAACCAACCTACCTTTCAGCTAAAATAACGTCGAAATGTGCTTCGGAACCGGCGGCCGCAAACACTACTACCACGAGGAGGTCATCCCCGCGAGGCACCACCACCACCACCACGGCCATCACCACCACGGTCACCATCATCACCACGGCCACCACCACTCCCCGCGCGCGAGCTACACCAGCGTGAGGCGGTCGTACGTCGCCAGCAGCCCGCGAGTCAGCTACGTCGAGCCCGTGGTCTACGAGCGTACGAGCCGCACGTACCGCTGAGTGTGGTTTCGACAGACTTCAGCCTTCAGCCCTGAAAACATAAAAAGAGCTAGCGGTCCCGCGGGAAAGCGGGAGAGCTCAACCTTGTTTCCTTTGGCCATGATTAGACGAGCAGCGGCATTGTTTCGAATGACACGAGTCGGTGGGAAGATGGGACGAGCATCTCGCAAGACACATGCTGTCGTGGATTTGCATGTGGATAACGCTTTGTTGCTTACGCTGCAGGGTTGTTTGGGCAATCGAGCCTGGACAGGTCGGTTTGTCCATCACCCGTCGGTAGTTATCCTCGTGTAGTTGTTCAACCAGAGTCAACTTCAGCGACAGGACACATGGCACTGACAGCGACGGCGTCGGCTTGTTAGAGGGAGAAAAGATAGGCGCACGGCTTTACGAAGACTTGACGAGGTTATGCAGGCGTCCGATAGCATGCGAAGACTAGCACGGAGTTTGTACTATAATTTTGGGTCGGCACGATTGTCACGAAATATGATGTTTCCAACTAATAATGAATCCTGTTTTGTTCCTCTAACAATCTCGTGTCTTTTCCAATCTCTTCACGATGATGCATGAATTCGTCTAGATGCAAAACGAGCGTAACAAGCCGCCTCACCTGTGTCTGCGCGGGAAACCCGCACGCCCAAAAAGTCAAAAGCATCTCGAGCAAATCCAAGCTTCTTCCAGCTGGCTGGCAACCCCGGCAAGCGGAAGCTGATCGGAGTGGAAAGCCGTGATCGTGGAGTGATCACTCCGGGCGAGGGCGGCCTGGAGTTGGAGAAGTGGAGGAGGTGATTTTTGGAGGGGCAGGGAAGGACCCTTTTTCCCGAGGTGTGGCCCTGGGGGTCCCCCGTCGCTGCCATGACATCATAGCGCGACCCCTCCAACCCCCGTCGTCATCCTTCGCATCATCATCACCACACCTCTGGGCATGTTACGTTGGGGAAGGTGAAGAATTTGCACAAGACAGACCGGTGCGCTCGGCCTGCCTCATTAGCGACCTGTAAATCGGACAGCATCTCGTTGCTGTCTTCTACCGTACAACAACTACTAATCAGTATGGAGCAAACGTCTAGCCAGCGCAACGGTGTAAATGTGTTGGACGTCTTCGTGGCCGGCCGATCCCAACATGGCTAGAGCTTGAGCTAAAGCTTGAGCTACCTGGTCTCCGGCTCCCTTCTGATGTGGAATGCCACCTGCCAGATGCAAGATTATGACATGACTGTCTCACCCGGTGACCTTTTCTTCCCGACTCAACCGCCGAGTCCCCGTTTCCCTTTTTAAAGTCCTCGATAGACCCTTGTCGCATCGCGGCTGTCGCATCTTTCACTGCAACTTGCCTTCCCAGCAACAATCTGTCCGGTCCAATAATTCGAGTACAGGAGGTACATTTACGTCTTGGCTTTGAACTGTCATCCCCGCGTTGAGCCTTCCCCAGCCGTACGTAGACACGCGCATCATACACTGCAAGGACAAGGTTTCTTCCTTCCGATATCGAAAACCACATCGCAGCTCTTGCTTTGCCTGAGCGCCGACGAGTTGGACAGAGAAAGAGCTCTCGGGGGTATCAAAGGATATATCCAGTAATACTTGACCCATCGCCATCATGTAAGTGATTTTATCTTCTTCCTATCATCCGCCCGGACAGACAAGGCCACAATGCGTCGCTTCTTCTCCTCTCACACCAGCGAGGACTCCGACCTCCCCTTCGGAGTGACTGCTGTTACCTACACGCCGTGATCCACAATCATCCATACAATTTGCCAGCTGCGATGCTAATGCTTTGCTAGGAACCGCTCCCTCTCCATCCGTACCAACCACCGCCGTAACGGCTCCCAGAACACCACGAAGCGAACCGGCTTCTCCTTCAACTCCCTGCGAGGCAACATCCAGCCCGAGCTCTCGCGAAAGCTCTACCGCCTAATCAAGAGCGAGAACAACCTCATCACCGCTCACGAGACAGCCGGCCGTGAGCGCGTCTCCATCGCTACCCAGCTCTCCGAATGGGGCGAGCATACCAACGATGAAGCCATTTCCGATGTCTCGGACAAGGTTGGCGTCATCCTCAGCGAGCTTGGTGAGCAGGAGGACCAGTATGCCCATTCACTCGACGATGCCCGTGGCGTCTTGAAGGCCATCCGCAATACCGAGAAGAGCGTCCAGCCCAGCCGCGATGGCAAGGACAAGATCGCAGACGAGATTGCAAAGCTTAAGATGAAGGAGCCGCAGAGTGCTAGGCTTGTCGTTCTGGAGCAGGAGCTTGTCAGAGCTGAGGCGGAGAACTTGGTGGCCGAGGCCCAGCTGACGAATATCGTATGTGTATATGACAGTGCTGTGCTTGGCCTTTACTGACTATTCCCAGACTCGCCAGAAGCTCAAGGAGGCATACGAGGCCGAGTTCACCGCCACTATCGAGCGAGCAGCGAAGCAGATCATCCTTGCTAAGCATGGCCGGCGTCTTCTGCAACTTCTCGACGACACCCCCGTCGTCCCTGGCGACATGCACCCGACGTATCACCACGCTCAACAGGCACGACAGATTCTGAACGATGCAGAGGATGACCTTCGAGACTGGACACCGGAGCAGGATTTCGTCACCACTCAAGTCGGCAGCGACTCGCAATCTAAGGGTAGGGAGACCTTTCACGATGAGGATGCTAAGATCGTCGCCGGTTCGGTACCTGGAGCCAAGCGTAGGAGTGTGGACGGAGCCAGTACCTCTAGCAACGGTACCAAGCAGACTGAGAGCGTAGCTGCCGCATGAGGATGTGGTAAATGAAAACATTGGTATAGGTTTTTCGAATCGAACGCGGAGTCTTGGAAGGACATTGGACTTGGCGTGCTGCTTTTCTGCTTTTTATGTTATACCATCGTTACGGCCTTCCTCCTAATGAGACCACATGATAGTTTGAAGAATAAATCGTTCTTGCTACAGTTTGTCGGCGTCACATACGATATCCTTGCAATACTAGGACTAGTGGTGCTTGTCGTTGCGGCGTTGCTGTTGAATGTGTCGCAGCGCGTGATTAGGGAGACGTGGATATCCGACATGGGGTGAACGGGCTGGCGCTTGACGGCTTCAACAGCATCGCTTCTACGATGGCTTTGTTAAGGAGTTCAAACGTGTCGGCATATTTGCAAGAGAGTGCCCGGTTGGTGTCGTTGAAGGAGCTCTACGGTCAGCTGTCTGACCTCAGTTTCCGGCTCATCTGGTTCCAGAGTGTATAACAAGGGAATCAATACAAGGCTGGCGCTCTGGGTGACAACGAGTACAAGTTTCTGGGCAATAGGAAAGACATTAAGAGAGAGCAATAGCAATGTTTCGGAGCGAGACGGCTAAATGATGGATCGTGTGCAGCTTGGCAACTGCGCTGGCTTCATTGGGGTCATGTCAATCGTTTGCAAGGAAGCACTCCGTACGCCTGTATCGTGTTCGAAATGGCGTTCTTTCTATAGATCTTTAAATTCCATAATCTAGGATATCGTCTCTAAGTTCTAATACACATGAATGTGCCGTCTGAACCAATTCTGAAGACAGCGGTCCATGCCCATTCCGTGTGACTGGCTTTCTGATGTCGACATCCACTGAGGAATCCAGACCGGGAGGTATCGCAAAGCAAAAGCTGTCGCTGATGTGATCATCAAAGTGAAAATGTCCGTCGTTGTATGTGTGGTATAGCCTCCGCTGTCCCGCCCCCCCCCAAAGAACAAACCCAGAACGACCAAAGAAAGACGAGAATATGGCTGCGATGAATGACGAGTCGGGGTATATGTGTGATGAGTGTGGTGTCCCCTCCAAGAGATATACCGTATGTCATGAGTGTCTGGCGTGACGAGGAGACACTTGAGTATGATCGGCGTGCTATTCGTCGGTGAAGAGATGGAATGCGTCAAAGTCGAGCAGTCTCTGGACCCAAGGTCATCCGAAGCCCGCAAGTGCTGTTAGGCTTGAAAAGCAACCAAGAATCGGCATATGGACGCCATCCCCCGTCAATGACAAGTCCCAGACGAAAAGTAGAACACAAAGGCTCTTCCTCATCGATCGCATCACGGCCCAGAGAACATAAACCCCGTACAACAAAAGAGCTACCCCCCTCTCATCAGCCACATTTTCCCCCTTCCAGACCAGGGATGAATACTCACAAAAGCCAAGCTCTTGCTCTTCTCTCCGTTCTCATCGGTGGTGAACCTCTTCCTCCTCCTCCGCCGCCGCTCCTCGTCCTCGTCGATCGCGCCTCGTCGGATATCGGCCATGTCGTTGACTACCGAGCTGTCTGTTTCATCGCGGGACCGTAAGCATCAGTTGAACCACGGTATAATTGGAGAATGACTACTACGTACCATTGAATCTCTGCCCCGAACTCCGCGGCTGGGCGCTGCGCTTGTTCTGCTCGTCCCGCCCGCATAGTGTCGCGCCGTCGAGGGACTTGTCGTCTTTGATGATGTGTGGTGTTGTTGCAGACATGTTTAAAAATCCGTTATTTCCCTTTTCTGTATCAAGATTCGACCGTCACCTTTGACCTCTCGAAGCATCTCTGTCCGAGGGCGGGAATCTCGCGTTTATATGCACCTAACAACAACCACCGATGACATCGTAATTCAGCGAGTCGATGTGGCTGTAAGCCTGCCTCGCTGCAGCCAAGACGGGCACGGGCGAGGCGCGGGGGAGGAGGTCGACATAGCCTCCTCCATACCGTAAGCCGGACAAAAGATCTGTTGGTTGTGTCTTTTGCGAGTTCGATGGAATGTGGTTGGTTGGACGGTCGCTGCGGCGCAGCGCTTGTTGCCCGAGCTATGTGTGTGCCTTGTTAGGAAGTATTTCCTGTGCTGATCAGTTCTTAGGGGGTTTGGGGTGTAAGCCGAGGTGAGGTTGGTTCTCCCAAGGCATTTGAGATGAGATTCCGACTCCGACGACTTCGATTGAGTTTCCGTTCCCGTGTGTAGGATGCGATTAGGAATTTGAACTTTGCTTGTGCTGTATTTCATGCAGTTCGGAGGAAACGGGAAAAAATACATTATGCCGTGATTTAGACGCTGGTATCTATCCAATAAATGCCCATTCTTCTTTCGTATGCACCATAACCCAGTAAAACGCCTCATTACCTTGCCCATCATCGTATCCCGCTCCGGAACGGGCTCACTGCTCCATGATCTCCGAGATGCCCCTCCAAAAGTCGCACCGGTCCTTTTGGCCGTCGTCGACGTTCTCCATGCGGTTGTTGTCGAGCTCGAACACGAATCGCGACTGGTTCTTGGCGCTGCCCCAGGTGTCCCACTCCGGCGCGTTCTCGAGCTTGTGCGCGTTCGGGTTGAGGGCGCGGATGAAGGAGATCCAGTAGTTCATCATGAGGGGCACGATGGGCTTGTTGTACGTCCTGAAGCTGTCGGGGGTCGGGCACGCGTCGATGCCGAAGATGGCGGGGGCCTCGAAGACGTGCGGGACGCCGAGGCCGGAGGCGGTGTTGGTCTCGTCCTGGACGTTGAAGCGGTAGGACCAGGACGAGCTCGTGAGGTTCTCGGCGGCGTAGGCGTTCATGATGTTGTTGGCCGGGCAGATGAAGGTGGTCTCGCCGTAGGCCTGGCTGGTGGAGGGGAACCAGGCGTTGTGGTTCGGTAGTTCGGGGAGCAGGGGATACTTTTCGAGCATGGTGTCGGTTTGGTTCGGGGTGAGTTTCGGATAGTTGTCTATCATGAAGTTGACAAACTCCTCCTGCGTGCCGACGTTGGCCGCGAAGACGGACCCCTCTGCATCCTGATGAGTATCGCGATCTGTGACATGAGGACGTTGGACTCACCATTCGATCCTGTCCCGAAGAGCACGGGGACCTTAATGAACTTTCCCTGATCGTACATCGCGTAGGGATAGTCTTGAATGAGATCGCCATCTATGCAGGGGGTCCAGTAAAAGTGCGGGTTCAGCTGGCGTCCGGGGAATGGCGATCCGGCGTTGGCTTCCTGGATGGTCTTGATGTTCTTGCCCCGCAAACAGCCCATTTGGTCCTTTTCGTCCTTACAGCCGGCATTCTCTGCCGTCTTATTGAATTGATACTCGAGTTCGGGAACGCGCGGTTGGCCGGGAAAGAAGACGGACTCGGCCATGGCTCCGACGAACAGCTTTTCATCTTTCCCGCCGTGAGCTGTGAGATGAAGGGCAACTGAGCCGGCGCCGGCTGAGACGCCGTGGATGACAACGTGATCTGGGTCGCCGCCAAACTGAGAATTTTAGCAAAACCTTCATGAGGTCCAAATTGATCAGCGGCAATACCTTTGAAATATGAGTCTTCACCCATTTCATCATGAGTCGCTGGTCAAGAAGTCCAGCGTTCAGGTCGCCATCCTTTCGCACTCGCTCGCTCGCAAGAAATCCCCATAATCCGACACGGTAGTTGAATCCGACGAAGACAATATTCTTGCCCGAAGCTTCAACCACTTGCGATCCGTTCCAGTTTGGATTAGCATTCGAGGTGTAGCCTGATCTGTGTCAGCGAGGTCCAGTGTATGACCCTTGCGTGAGAACGGGATGAGACAGGGCACTTTGTGGCTTTCCACATCTCAACAGGAACCAAAGCTTGAGGGCACACGAACCTCCACCTTGAATGAACAGCCACACCGGAAGTTTGGAGTCGGGCGTCGTGTTGTTGGGTGACCAGACATTGACATACAAACAGTCCTCGTCTTGTCCTGCCGTGGGGTAGGACGCGTCCGTCGCGAGACAAATCGGACCAAACTGAGCTGCGATCAGCAAAAGCGCACCTCGACAGAAGACCAGCACCCTTACCTCTATCGCATCTGTCGTGCCCTCTTTCGGCTCTGGATCTTGAGGTGCTCGCCATCTTAGATTCCCTATTGGGGGCGCAGCGTAGCGCATCCCCAGGAATTGGTTCACCCCGCTGGGAAGCACATTTCCTGAATAATTCGCATACCCGAGATCAACCGCGACCCTGGGGAGGTTCAGCTGTCGCAGCGTTAGCTTCTACGTTGCGCATGTAGATATTTGGGGAAATAAAAGGGTTCTGTCGAACCTGATCCCGCGCGCCGATGTATTCACGGATATTAAAGTAGAGAACGACAGTCAAGGCAGCTAATAACATGCTGGTGATGGCAAAGGGCACAGAGTGTTTCCTCCAGTCGAGGAGTTTCCTCCTCTCGTCCTGGGCCGGGTTGTCATTTGGGCGAACATGTTTCCAGGTCATATGGTCCAAGAGCTGGTATCCCACGTGAGAGGAGCCGAAGCAGCTAGCAAACCAGCTCATGGAGGGTTTTGGAAGCCGAGCGAGGCGCGGGGTGACGGCGACGGGTAAGAGAGAGCGAGCTGCGAGTGAGAGAGTCTAAGCTAGCGGCGGCGGCATGTCGTTTCCGAGGGGGGATCCGTGCCAGTCTCACAGACTTGCTGCAGCGGCGGGCTGCGACTGCGAGTGAGATTGGCGCGGGAGGGACGCCGAAGATGAGGCCCTGATGGGATGGATTGTTGTACACGAGCCACGGTCGGTAAGTTGTTGAAAGTAAGTGAATGGGTGAGATTTTTGAAGACTCTGGGGAATAAGGACCAAAGGGAAAGAGAAAAAAACAGGGGCCCAAGACTCTGCAGTATCAACAGCAATGATATCTCTGAGAATATCGTGGAGGGTTGAACCTTGGCAAGGCCAAGAGAGGCTTCGTTGACAGAAACGGTACTTGAGCCAGCTGCATACGGGAAGTGGGAATGCAGGTTTACTGGGGTACCTCCTCCTCCTTCTGGCCTCTACAACCATACGGATACCAAACGCCATGCCACGCACTCTTTCTGCGTCCTGCGGAAGTGATAGGGGGCACGGGCTGTGTCAGCGCACTGCCAAGTTGAATCTGCAGTGACGTCGGCCGGGAACATGGTGTCGTTCTCCAACAGGGGGTGATCTGGGTGATCTGGGTCAAATTCGAGTGTCTGGCCTTCGGGAACCTGGCAATTCTGCTGTCTGCCGGGAGCCACTGGAAACACTGGAGCGACAGCCAACAGGATGCTCTAAAGACGCCGGTTTTGGCCCTTTACGGCAATGAGACCGGAGTAATTCACCGAGGCCGGAGCTCATCGTCATCTCTCGGAGTGACTACCCGGTGGTAGCTGTTCATCGAGTGTTGCCAAAGGTTGCTGAACAGAGAGAGAACAGAGTTCAACGCAAAGCTGCACTGGCAACAGAGAGTACCCAGCTGCAGCACGACTCGCATCAGACAGACGGTTCCTTACCCGGCGCGCAGGGTGCTGCCGGCTTGGCGCTTCATCTGATAGATGAGGTTGAGTCTATTGCATTCGAACACGAGCAGCACTGGACGAGCTCCCATCCCTGATTCCTCTTGCGCTGCCAAGGTTCGTGTTGATCGTTATCGCTGCAAACCGGCTGTTATCGCTCTCTGCGTCGGCGTCACTGCTCCTTTCTCTGTAGTATTTGGTTGGGGTAACTATGGGGATCGTTCCGGGGACCGCGGCAAAGGTGAAGCAAGAAACACTGGAGAAGTCTCCAGCCAACATGGAGACGGAGACTGAAGCGAACAGAAATAGAGCCGATGAGACCGATGAGACGCGTCTATCCGTAGTGTATTCGTATTCCGCGTTGCTTCAGCACTGATGCTCACGACTCGGTCCCGAGAATTTGTGGCTTAGATAAGCGGGATCATAGACTGAATGAACGGCTAGTTGCTGAAGGCCGAGGCCAGCTGACTTGTCCCGTGATGCCGCCTTCAAGTCAGCAATCCTCCGCCTCCCACAAAGAAGGGCAACAGCGTCTTACATATTCTCACCTATTGCCTGTGTGTCTTACTGTTGTGCGAGTGAAGAGCATCTTCGAGTGGCGGACTGGCCCGCGCTAGTCACCCACTTTACTCCAGCCCATGGGGCCAAAAATAGCAGCACGATCTCGCCCGGTTGGTGTTTGGCGTCTCGCTGTGGTTGGCGGTTGGTTGTAGCCCAGAACATCACCAAACCACGAAGAAGTGTTGCATGCGGTCGCATGCGGATATCCCGAGTCTCGACAGCGAGCCGCCGGGCTCCGTTGGTGTAGGAGGGGCAACTCGATTTGACAGATTTGACAGAAATCGGCCAAGTCCTGTTGGTCCTGGGCGGTTGGCGGGCGGAGGCGTTGGGATCCAACAGGCCGGGCGAATCACCAGGGCCTGCCGAGAAACACGGCGGGATGTGGAAGACTGCTTGCGATCGCCATTGCCTAGGCTTGCGTTGCGTTGTTTGATGATGAGAGATGTGTTTTTCCATCCTAGGTCTCAATATGATGCAGTTAGGCTCTCTCCCTGCATATCACCGTATGTGGCTCAGGGTCTGTCTGCATGTTTCGATCCTCTCTCTGCCACTTCAAGGTCAAGGCGGCATGTTGCAGAGAGCAGTGGGCAGCCAGGTTACGGCTGTTTCGAGGGGTGCGATTCGGTGGAAGACCAGCCACTGTTTGATCGCATGTCTGAGGTAAACAACCAAGAAACTTATTTGAGAGGGAGAGGAAAACGAAGAAACGAACACCATATCCTGTCCAATGCTCATGAAGCGGACCTGGATGTCTCTCATCATGGTCGAAATCTGGCTTAATAGAGGGGCTATCATGTGAAGACGATCTGCCCAAGGTACGTAAGTAGAGACGGGCTATTGGTGATGGATACCCATCATTCCGTGCTCCAACAGCATACCAGACGGAGATGCCAACCAGTAATAACACCAGGCGGTTATCAATATGGAGTTGTGGGTGTGGTGCCATCCGTGGAGATGTGCGTGATGGTGCTGTTTGTGTGAATTTCCATGTTCCGTCAATTCGATTAGGACGGTGGGAATGTTGAAGTTTTCAAAAAGGGTATGGCACGGATAGATGTTTGACCAATTGACAGACGGCCGATCACGACCACCTGCTAACAGTTGGTACTTCGGCTCTCAGCTCTGCAAGCCATCACTCCTGGTCGAAGATAGGGGTCCCCTGGTTCGCTTGGTGCACTTGGCTGGCGGGTCGGAAGATCTGGGCAGGGTAGACAGCTCACACTATTGGGCGGCTCGGGCAGTCTGGGTATCTTCCGGTAAGCAGTGACGATGTTTTTGCTGGAGACTCGCAGGCAGAGACTTAAGATCCCAACATGGACCTTCAAGTAGCCATTAGCGTCGCTCCGCCACACCTTGCTTGCGTTCGCGCATTGCAGCCGCGAACGAACGAACGAAACGAACGAGCGACCGACCACTGATAGTGGTAGTCACACTCAGTCTTTCAGCCCTTGCCTCGTCTCGTCGTCTAACCTTTTATCGTGGCTTGCATTACCTTACTCTGCTTCTGCTTCTGCATCTTGTTTCTCTTCGTCTCATCCCCGGCCCTAACGACTACAGACGATTTCATCATGACATACTCCGCCCGCCCTTCGCTCTCTTAGCCTTGCGACTCTTGATACCTACCGCGACACGCCATTTGATCATGGCCACCGGCACTGACACCCGCGGAGAAGGGGCGCCGCGGTCATCCATAGAGAAACCGCCCATTCTCTCTGCAGATCCAGCCTTCGATCGCCTGCCCGACGAGATAATTGAACAGTAGGTCTTCTGTTGCTGAACTCCAGGCAGCAATCATTGCTGACATAAACCGCTAGAATTCTACAACTTACCGACCCCGACTCCTTTGCCTCGCTCGTCCTCCTCAACTCGAAGTGGCGCCAGGTCTCCCAGCAGGCCCAGCTTTACGCCCTCCACCTCTCGAAATGCGAAACCTACTCTGCGAGCCACCCTCCTCTGCGCGAAACCGACGTCAAAGAAGATGACCTCTCCCGCCTTCGAAGACTCTTCGCCCGAGAAGTCAAGCGCAATCTCTTCGAAGCCTATCTACGACCGCGCGAGACCGTAATCAGGCTGATCTCCAATTCCATCAGCTCCTCGTCATGTCCGGGCGGCGAAGGAATGCAATTCAGCCCATCGCCGCGCGGGCATCACGTCCTGGCCTACAACTCGTCCAGAATATACGTTCTTGATATGAGGGGCAAGGATATCGATGTCAAGAGGGAGTTCAAGATTCTGCGCCGCCCCGTTTCGACATGCATCAAGGACGACGGCTCCATGCTCGCAGTCTTGTCCTCGGAAATGCAGGTCGATCTTTACGATCTTGAGCCATCACCACCCCGCCGTACTCAGTCCCTCATTTTGGATCATGCACCGCGCACCATCGCCCTATCGCCATGTGGTTCCGTTTTGGCTGCAGCCTACGAGGGTGGCATCGAGGTATCGCTGGTCAACCCGGGTGCGCTGCCCACTGACAGAAGAGCTGTCAAATGTGATGGCGTCGACTCTCTCTCCTTTTCTTTTGACGGAACACAGATTCTTGGCACAACCATTCACTCTTCGCCGCCGAGCACCGTCATTCTGACTGCTCCCTACTATGACCCTGGCAACCAGATGGCCGATGACAGCATCAGTGCGTTGTGGACGACGTCGATTCTCTTTCCTAATACGAGCCGAGACTGTAGCCATGCTGTCCTGCTGCAAGACACAAGCCAAGAGGAAGCCAGCTGGACCTTCACCTACGACCGCAGCTTCGAGACATTCAGAGCCGTACGGATCGGCGACCTGCGCAATGGAACGACATACTTCACTGGTCCGAAACCTCACCCGGCTTCCCAGGCCAAGTTGACTCCTTGCACACTGCCGGCAGCTACTTATCATGGCGATCTCGTAAGTGCCGGTTTCCAAGGGAAGGACGTCTGGCTTTACGGCGTCCCGGAAGACCTGGATGCGGTTCCCGAATTCTCCTCAGGGTCCGATGCATCATCTTCCACTGGCCGGCGAAACAGCGGCCCTCCATCTCGCTCGTCGTCATCCCGCGCCCAAGAAAATCCCAGGGTACCTCAGTGGCAGATGCTGTGCGACAAGCTTCGGAATACCTTTGTCTGGGGAGCCAAGATTGCCGAGCTTGATGGCGTGAGCACCGTGAAGTGGGTTGCTGGCTTCGGTGAAACATCATCGCAGGAACGTCTGGTGATTGCAGCTCGTGGTATTTCGCCCACCAAATCAGTCGTGGACGAAGACGACATTGACTTCATCGACGGCGGTCGAATAACTTTGCTCGACTTCGACTACGGAGTAGAAGACGGAGTCAAGACTGAGATCGAAATCGAAGTTGGCACAAGGGAACCTGAGGTTCTTGAAGAAGAGCAGAGAGACATCGACACTGAGGTTGCCATAGTGCGCCGCAGAACAGTTGCTCAGAAGCGTGGGGACCGAGGCCACATGATCCGTGCAGCTACAAGTGCTGCGATTAGAGGCAATCCCATACCCCCGATGCCCTCAATGCCTCCGATGCCCCAGGCGAGAGAAGAACCCGAAGCCGAGGACGCGGACGAAGATGACGACCCCCTCGTTCCCAGACGTGTTGGAGCGCCGCCCCGGATTAACGTACAGCAACCGACGTCTGCTTCTGCTGGCGAGGAGGGCGAGACTGCGTCGATGATTGAGGAAGAGGAGGCTGTGGAAGCCCCTTATGCCCACGATGGACCTCGCTCCACGAACACTCTCCGCCGAGCCGCGACTGCAGCAGCAATGAACCGACGCCGCAATCCTGCACCCCCTGTCGCCGGGCCGGTCGAGTATCGGCGAGCCGATGGCCGTCGCGAGCACCCTCACGAGAGTGACGCAGACAACTGGGTTCCGCCGCCACCGCCTTACCAGAAGGAGGATCCCGGCGATTTGCCCTCGTTCTTGCGAAACGCCGCCATTACACCTAACGGTGTACAGGTCCAACCCCAACCAGCTAGGATACAAACAGCTGCACCTACGATTGGGTCTTCCGCTTGGCCATTACCCGGACGCCCGACTCTGGCGCAGACGTCACCCCGTCCTCTCAGTTACCAGGAGCCTTCCAGTGTCAGTCCTGCCTTGACCAGTCATCATCTGCGGGTTGCAAGTGACACGACGCACATGAGCCGACCTCGCACCGCGGACTCGGATCGGCCTCTGTCTATTCCTGTCTCTCGTGTTGACGACGATGATGATATCTACGACGTCTCACCACCAGACTCTCCCCGAGCGGCGGCCAGAAGGGTCAGTCAACCAGAGCCCGAGTCGGAGGAACGACTAGTCAGCGAGTCCTCGCTAGTCTCGCCATTGAGTCGTAGGGTGAACTCCGACTTGATATCTCCGCAAGACTCGATGGTGTCTCCCGACTTCCAAAGGACCCATTCTCCCCCTTCGCTAGGCCTGGCTATACCCTCGGCGGGCCTGGGAATCTCTACAATTCCTCTCGAAACTCAGCTGAACAATGATAACGAGATCCCGATAGTCAGGCGACTGTCAAACGCACAAACGTGGCCGAGGGCTGCTCAGCCTGCCAGCGGGCCCGAAGCAGAACCTGAGGCTACTTCATCCACCGTCTATCCGTACTCTGCACCTCCGATCGATGCGAGTGCTGCGATGATGATGGCTTCCGCATTGCCACCTCCACACAGGGCTGATCAGTTAGCTAGCTTGCACAATCATGAGCGGTCGACCCCTCCTCGGCCCTTTTCTGGCAGCTTCAGCTCTGTTCAACGCGTCCCGGTCGGCAGTCGCAGGCCTGGTTCACGTCGGGCGTCTGTCCCGCAGCCTGGGCCGCTCGCCGACGGACATCAGCCCGCTGTACCAGACATGAGCAATAACTCCCCGATCGAGGATCAGCCCCTCATCATAAGTACCCCCGGGGGTGTTGTGGGTGCATACGATCTACCAACACGCCAGCAGTCGAATCGTAGAACCGAGATGCCATTGTTGGCGCCTATACCACGCCACCCTCGGCCGGCACAGCTGGGTCCTCTCAGACCTACCGTCGAGCGTTTGGAGACGATTTACAGCGTAGCGCCGGCACAGGAAGCCGCCGATGAGGCTTCCGGCAGTAGAAATCTACTTCCTGGGTGGCTTCAGGCCCCGTCAACAACTTCCGCCGGCCGCCAGTCCCATTCTTCTGTGAATAGGAGACCGAGCCGCGCCGAGCGGAGCGCGGCCAAGAATATCAAGGACGCTAAGCGTCGCGGCTGGAACGGCTCGAAGAAGAAAAAGAAGAAGAAGGTCGACCCGGAGGTTGCCAGCACCGCCGCCTGGACCGATGTCTCTGGTGTGAGCAGAAGCGAGCCACACGGCAAGGGCCAGAAGCAGAAGGACAAGAAGTGTGTCCTGATGTGAGGGACGTGAAAGAGCCCGTCTTTACAAGAGCCGCCCTTCGCTCATCTGGAAGATTTTATTGATATAATGATTGGGATTTAAGCAACGGAGTTGATTTGGATAAGAGTCAGAATGTACCGTTGGTCGATTTCTGGATCGGAATATCGCGGACGGAGGGGAGGGAAAAGTTGCCATTTTGAACATTTACGGCCGGACAATTTCTTAGTTGCGCAATCTCGCTGGAGTACACAGGACAGCTGTACTCGCCCGCACTTGGCGTCGATGGAAGAGACGGGCTCCGTCGATCTATCGATGCCATTTCTTTGCGTATACCACTTCTCAGTACAGATTTATCCACAATATTAAATGTATAAACTTACTTGGATGATTCTGACTGCGGTGAAGTCCATTTTGATGGTCAGGCTGTCGACGACGGTAATATGCCACATTGCGATTGCTTGATTCAAATCTACTGGCTGATAGAACTTGCGACAGACTCCGGTACATGAGTCTCGACTTCCCCTCATTATTCAGCATCCTTCTCTAAGCTCCCGAGCTGGTATAAAAGACAAGGGAAGTTCGGACTCCTGAACGGGTCGGGGCAACAGTATGGCAATGGCCACATGCACACTCGTTCTCCAAGCACCTGACGAACGTTGCCCATCGTGACAAGGTCCCCAACCGCGCTGCGACGGTGATGGTAGGTCCCGTTAGCAGCCCGCCCACACATCAGCCAGCCACCATGCGACGTCACAGGTACTGACTGTCCTTCGTCGTCTCTGGGGGTGTATTCTCACAGCTATACATTGGGACGGGTGGTGTAGGAGAAGCCGTAGCCCTGCTGTGCGTCTGTTACTTTGTCTATCAACGTCTTGCTGACTCTTTTCAGGGCTCAAAGCAGCAGGACCATCTGTAAGAAAGCATTCTGCTGTTTGTCGAAATGCGCAGTTTGATGCCCATGTATGTCTTAATAGTACCCGAGTAAGTCCGTAGCGTTTGTAGGTTTCCTTGAAACCACACCTAGCTTGACGAATTCGAGTATGTTTTTTTTTCAGGCTCGAGAGCCGGCAAGATCATGGCCGTCGTGTACTTAAGGTCTCCCCAAGCCCGCACTCACGGCACACACACCACCGAAAATGCTGCAGCAGTTGTAGCAAAGTGGGTTCTATGTTGGCACCTCATTTGTAAAAGGCCGGGGAATACGGTAAGTACATTCGGCATCCCTGGTCAGCTCGTCGAGTTATTGTTCGGTATCTCGTAGGTATAGTTCTTCATCGTCTCTGCGGGTGTATTCTCACAGGTATTCGTGGGTACGGGTGACGTGATGTTACTGAAGAGTCGCGTCGTGCTTCCCTTCGCATGCTGTGGTATATTCATGGCGTTCACAGTCATTACAAACAAAATTGTCGTCAGCAACAACTGGCTTGTTTTGAAGACCACAAGTCATAGAAACGTAAATCAATCTATACATGTTACTATGCCCTTCCCTGGGTCCATAACGCCACGTAGGAGACATGAAATCCGCTTAGGCAAGCACTCTGGTGAGAACGGGCAGACGAGGTAGTGAGACACAGGACGAGGACACGTAAAAGACAGCTTGAGAATGGCTTCAGCCGGAGAGCAACCATGTTTGACCATTTCCATGACTGTTTGACGATGATGGTAAGTGGACGTTGAGAAAGGAGAGGAGGTGAGCGGGAGGTAACGTGATGGGGCTGGCCTCTCAAACTAAAGCCACGAAATATCCATCCTTCCCACGACCCTAAAGTTCTACGGTATTTTCCACGGAATAAACAGCCAAGGATGCAGCGAGGCAATGTCGGATGACTTGGACTCTACAGGGTGCGATACCCGTTGCCGAAACGACTCCCGAGCGTCATTGCAATGACTGCTCACTGCTGCGCCAAATCAGGCGTTTTAGACGCCACACAGTTTTCCCTTTGATTCTCGTTGCCTGTAATCATTGTCGGGAACTGTTCCGGGTTCCTATATATATGCCCCCCCGGCCGGGGTCAGGTCACACGCACCTGTCCCCCTCTTCTCAGGGGAGACATACTGATGAAACGTATCCGAGTCCGCAGATCTAAGGCGGGATCTCAGCCGACCCATTCTTCTATTTAACCCCATAGACAAGTCTCGATCGGTGCGTTCAGGGCAACAGACACAGTATCTTGCGTCTTCAAACAATGTACTGCAAGAAAAGAAGACCTGTCGATAGCAGCAGGACAGGGCAGATCCTATCGCGAACTCTCAACCTCGTGCGGCCCTGCCGGAACAGACACCCTTTTATCATTTCTATGTTATTCCCCACGGCATAAGCAACTAGAGGTACAAAGAGACGAGAAAGAATGATAAATGTTGTTGGAGACTGGTAGGTTTCACTTATGGCGAAACCAACCGCAGTTCAGGAAGAAGTTGGATACCTAGAGAGCACCGATATCTCTCGCGTCATCTATAGACGAGAACACATTGGTGCCTGTTGCGTTTGTTTCTTTGTCGGTGACGCTTATATGAAGTATCTTATATGCTGAGCGACTACCACGTGCAACTTGATTATCAATCTCGAAACATCATCCAAGTCTGGCTAGTGGTGTAAAGTGAAGGCATTTACAATTTTCAACTTCCGTCGGCAAAACCTACTCTCGTCACGCGTCGACGCGACCGACGACAGCTACGTAAAAAAACAAAAAAGCGACCGTGGGGTATAAACCTTTCCAACACAAACGCCCAACACATGAAAATACCACTAAAGCAAGAAAACGCCGTCGCCCGGCGAGGAGGGGGTTGCAATCTAAGTAGTACAAAGAAGAAGAGTGTCCTCCGATCTCTACCTGTCCCTTCACAATCTACCAAGTCTTCATGCCAGCATGTCTTCGTTCCCGCAACAGAAATAAAAGTCGAACAATATTAAAAAAGAAGGATAAATCGTCGAGGGAATTCACCGCCGACTGTATGTACGTAACCAGACTTCACCAAAACAAATGAAAAAAAAAGTTGGTCTACCTCCTCGGCGTCTGCGGCACGTACGGCTTACCCCTCCTCACGTCCCCCAGGTCCGCCTCGTCCATGAGGTCGGTGAAGGTGGTCGCGGACGTCAGCCTCCTGTGGCCGGGCCTGGGCAGGCTGTGCGGGTCCGCGAAGACGTTGATGCTCTCGCTGCTCGGCTCGCGCGGGAGGTGCTGCTGGCCGCCGGGGACGGCGAGGAGGGGGTTCTGGGCGCCGGGTGGCCTGCGTCCGGAGTTGGGGCGCATGTTTCGGATGGGCGGGACGGGGATGCCGCCGCGGTCCGGGGTGCGAGGCGGTTTGGCCGAGTCGCTGCGCGCGATGCCGATGGGGTGGTTGGCAAGCGTCGTCGCGGTGGAGGAGTTGCGCGAGTGGGAGGGTTTGTAGTTGTAGCCGCCCGTTCTGGTCGGGGAGGAGATGCGTGAGTTGCGGGAGTGGACGGTCGAGGGGGTCTTGAGGATGAAATCCGTGCGTCCCGAGTCGGATATGGGGATCGGCTCGGATATGATGTTGCCGAAGGAGGATGTCGATGTCGACGGGCGAGGGGCGCCGCTACGCTTCTTCTCGTTCTGGGGGGTTGTGTTGCGGCGACGGCGGCGGGCGAGGAAGAGGAGGAGGGCGACGCCGAGGCCAACGCCCGCCAGGACGCCGCAGAGGACGCCGATGACGATGGCGGTCGGGAACGTGCTCTCGTTGTTGTTTGCCTCCTTGTCGTCGCCGTTGCCTTCTTGCTGCGCGGGAGCAGTCGCCGTGGAGGATCCGGCTTCGGCAGAGGACGTGACGATGGTGGTCGGGATGACCGTCGGGATGGGGATGCTCGATGAAGGGCCCGGCGTGGTGGTAGGCAGCTCCGAAGCGGGCAGCTCGGAGGGCTTGTTGGTCTGGTCGGCGTCCCTGACGCACTGGTTTGCGCCGTTGCAGGTGTATCCGAAGGGGCAGCACTGCGAGCCGCACGTCGGGAGCTTGCTCTTCAGAGCGGTAGTCTTGATGACGGCGTCGGGGTGGGTCTCGGGGTCCTGCAAGGTGACAGCGCAGTTGATGGGCGTGATGCGATCGCAGTTGCTTCCCTCGGGACAGCACAGGACTGTGGTGTTTCCGGCCAGGGCGATGCATGTTGTTCCTTCTCTACAGCAGAACGAGGATGGCAGGCCGGTGCCACCACATGGAGAGAAGCCTGTTGCGGCGCATGTTGCTTGACGTTGAAAGATGTGCGGGAGAGATGCCGCGTGGGCGGAGGCGATTAGGATCGAGAGCAGCGCGGCTCGTGTGCATTTTCGTAACCTCGCCATATCTGAGGGAGATGCGAAATGTGTGTGTGTTGGTAAGTGTCTTTCAACAGAGTGAGTCTCTGAAGTCGACGAGTTCGCTTGGAACACAGCCTTTGGTGGTCGGAGTCAAACGGGCGTCAGAACCGTGTAAGTCAGAGCCGGGTGGCGGTATGTGTGTCCGGAGGCCAAACAACAAGCAGGGAAATGGAACCCCGTGCGGTTCTCGAGCAGTGGGCACAAAGATGTAGAAGTAAGTCGAGGTTTGGAGACGTTTCGTGTTGGGTTGGATGGAGGTGAACAGCACAATGAACTTGTCACTATTCGCAGGCCGATATGTAAGAACAAGGAAACGACCACTTAGTTGTTCACTGAAAAGGGCGGGAGGCCGCACAAAAGAATCGAGGAAGCTGGCCGGAAACAGGCAATGATGACCTCAGAAAGAAAGAAAACGAAAACGATGGGCGGACATTGGGTAGGGAGAGGAAAGAAAGGAAGTCAGTCGAATGGTGTGGCCTGGAAGATGACGATGGTGCTTCCACCCGACATTGATAGCGAAGCCACGGAGCCCAATCTTTTTTTCGCAGGCTCGATATCGCGGCAAGGCGGCAAGGGTTGGTATGGGATCGGTTGAGCTCTGCCACTCGACGGAGGACTCCCATCAGAGATTTCTTCTTCGCCTCCTGCGCGGCTCGAAACCAGATGGAGCTTCACAGGACCTATCCATAGAAGGTAGCCACCCGATCGACCGTCGCCTGTAGATGCCCGGCTGGACGGTGGCCAACCAAGCGGCCTGGTGGCGGCATCGCGGCGACTTGCTTGGGTTTTGCTTGCAACGGTGCTATGCGAGGGCGACTGGATCGCAGGGCGCTGCTGTTCGTCTAGGACTGGGAACGAGTGTGGAGCGATGTTGTTGCGCGAGCTGTATGGTTTCCAGTATCACCATGCCATATCGACTGTCCGTCCTTGCGCAGTAAACTTCCTTTTGGAAGAGTTTGATAGGGCGCCGATGGCTGCTACTTCCCGACCCCGGAATAGTCGACGACTGTTGGTGGAAGACAAGACGGGCGGCTCCAGGTGTGGCCATGAGGCAGTGCAGGTCTGGGTAGACGCCGGTCCGGGGCAAACGAGAGGCTCTCGACGACCTGAAGCGCCGACCCCCTTGACCCTTGACGGCGGCTCGTTGATGTTTTCTTTCGGGTGGTTGTGAGTGGTTGAAATGGTGAGTATGGGGGTTTGTGCCAAAACGTAGCCGCGGAGCGCAAACGCGCGCCTGTGATTCGCTGGTGGCGTCGACCGCCGAAGAGAACCGAAGACCGTCCCGAAATTCAGGCGGCCCCTGCATTTTGGATCCCCATTGTCGCCATTGTCGTTCCCTTTTTAGCGTTCCGTCCTTCGTCCATATTCTCTTTCTCGCCGAGTCCGTTATTGTTCTCGGCAAGACGAACAACTCAACATCAAGGAATGATTTCTGAGTACAAGCACAAGGTAGATTCTCCGAACATCTCCCAGATGCCCAATCGTCCGCCGCCACCTCATACCGTCCCCTTCATGCGTCCAAGCCACGCCTGACGTACCCGTCGACGCCCCTCCGTTCTATCTCCAGCCACTCGCCGCCCGCCCTCCGTCCTCCGCCTTCCGGGCTCCCTCTCGGCAATGCACGGAGCAGTCCAGTCACCAGACTCGACCCCGTCTCGCGAAAGCCTCACTCCAGGGCCCGATCGGCAGCCGGCAGACCGTCACCACCACTGAACGAGCGAGGTCCACCGCACGCCGGCCACGATCGAGGCCACAAACACGTCTGTGACCTTGGCTCTTGCAGTACTAGCATCATCAGCTCCTCAGGGGCCGTGGTCGTCTGTCTGCAAGCAGGCCCAGCGACCAAGTCCAGCTCTACCCAAACGAAGCGTCCACGTCCCATCATCGCTGTCGCCGTCGGTGTAAGTCATTCCACAGGGGTCTCAATTCACAAGGGCGGAGGGGAGACCACAAAAAAAAAGCCCTCCATGATCCATCCCCCTCCCAGCCATCGGCCCGTGATCTACGTCCCAGACGCAGAATGGAAATCCGCCTTGCGCCCCTCCGAACCAACATTTCCCCATTCCCCAGCACACACCCTTTTCCCTATCTGTCATCTGTCTCTCCCACGCATCAAGACGGGTATTATTCGTCAGAAAAAAAAGGACAACAAATCCCAAGCTCCCCAAGCGCAAAGCAAATATGCACGCCCGATCCCGTGGTCTCTTCTCCATGCCCCCTCCTACCTAAATGCCTCTTAAAAATCAAGGGAACGAGATAACTTCACGATACAACAACCGAATAGCAGCCGCAGTTGGGCTCATCACGTGGATACCCATGACCACCACCCCCCTCCCCGGTCCTCCGTTCCGTTTCCCTGTTTTTCCCCCTCGCACCCACGGAGGATGCCCGGCGAAAAAACGCAGCGAACCTACGAAACGAAAAACGTCCCCAGCCTAACAAGACTCCATCCATCTCGCCAATTCACAATGATTCACACCTCGCGCGCGATTCTGTGACTCAAAAACGGCGGTGAACGTATTTCTGGTCCATCCAGGCTCCCTCTCTATCTTTCTTTTCTTCCACCCCGCCCGTCCTACCCCTTGCTCTTCTCGAACCGTGGGGTTGGGAAAGTGGACAGCCGCCAGTCTAGTCCGTCATCCAAGACAAGAAAACCCACGATCCATCCATCCCTCTTCACCCCCTCCCCCCCTCCCCCTGTCTCTCGTGTGCCCGTGGTTGAACGAACGAACGAACACTCGGCGCGAGGGGCGTTTAAACATGGGAATTTGGAAAAAAACCAAACCAGAATCACCAATTCGACGACAGACTGACTCCATCGTTAAAAAAAACCCTCACAGTTCTTCAGATACTGTCCAACCCCCGTGGAATGTACACACCCCCAGAGGGAAACGGACCAGGTGACTTGACTGACTTGACTTGACTTGACTCCATTCCCGACCCCCGTCCTATCAACCATCACAAAATGTCACTGACCTCCAGCAAAAGTGACGTCGACGGCGGGAGACCACGAGATCTCTTCCTCCTTCTTCCCCTTCCCTCTCTCTGTACCCCTCTACGCTCTACCCTTGATCTTAACCCTGACCCTGATGCACCAAACCCATGCTACCACTACACACCCCCAGACGGATTTCCCAATCCGTACAAACCGTCGACGCAAAGAACGGCTCATGTGAACAGTCGCCAATTCCGCACAATACTACACCGAGGACAGAAACCCCGCCCTCAATTCCCTCACCGCTCCCCTTACCGAGGTGAAGCATCGCAAAAGTGGCGGGGGGGGGGAGGTTAGGTTCACCGTACAACCTCGTGCCGAACCCTTTCTTTTCTCCAAAGGGAGCCAGAGACATAGATGTAATACCTTAGTAACATCATCACGGGCGCGTAAAAAAAGAGAGGATGTTACTCAACCCGCGCGCGCGCACCATCAATCAATCAATCACCCCATGTCTCACACGATCTAAGATTCCAATCCAATGGCAAACCAAAATAATGCCCTTTTCCCATCCGCTGAAGACAAAGTCCCAGAAATCACGAATTGAGAAGGAATGGAGATGACATGTGCCGTGATTCTAAGCCCGAGTGTAAGTCAAATTCGTAGCCTACCTACCTAGGCACACTTCTCTCTCAACCCACAGCTCGTCAGGAACCCCTTCCCGATTCTCCGTTGAACGGTAGTAAAAGACCATTGTAATTCCGAATCCTGTCCAAAGAAACCCCTCTCTCACCCAAAGGCCCGTACCGTAACCTTTCTCGGCTCTCGATTCGTCGCTGACGGCCTTCTTCTTTTGCTGCGAGTAAGCTTCGGGTCAAGTGTTTCCAAAGGGAAGGTGGTGGTCGATCCGCCACTCCGTCAGCAACACACCTCACTCAGTCTGTGTGTGATCCGAACACACCCCCTCCTCCTCCCCTCCTCTTGGCACAGACCGGCCCAGACACTCGGCCGATGGCAGGCACACCGGGTTGAGTTTTCTGGGTTGCTGCGACCTCGCCAACTGTTCACAGACATGTGCACACGAATGTAGCGGATGGAAGGAAGATGTGTAGAATAATCGCTTTTGAACTTGTTGGGTATATTTGGTATTACATGAATCCCAGTCCTGCTCCGTTCGACGAATGCCGTCGGAATGAGCCCCATGTGAGAAGTCAACAGGGAAGCTAGCCCATCACAGCTCCCAGAGCCCTTCTTCGTTTCCATCCGATCCAGCCCAGATGCACCGAAATGCTTGTTCCCGATTTCCCAAACACTGCAAACTCCGATGAAGGTCCCCGATTCCCATTGTTCATGCTGAGGTATACCTATTGAGGAAAAAAACGAATAGATCAGATGAATAGGTTCGTCTGATGGAAAATTGGTGTGAAAAAATGTCGTTCGTCGCATCTCATGTCCCCCGTCGCATGTTCAGGGCCTCATCCCAGCTGTTACCCGTCCCGTTCGTCCATCATCATCGGTCATCCTGGCAGCCAGGCCTAGCTGCCCCATGCACACCCTCTCAGAAAGTGTCCAGAAAATAAGTGTGATCCAAGTGTCTCTGCTCTCTCGTTTAGTTCATGTCCGCTCCGTTCGCCTTGCGGCGTTGTCCTTCTAGTAACCCCGAAGCAACCTGTGGTCAGGTGTGGTATAAATCAGAAAAAGAAAGGTGGTATCAAAACGATAAATGCAAAAAGAAATTGTTGAAGATCCAGCCGAGCAAGACTGGCTGGCAGCAGCCCCGGTTGACGCGAAAGGGAGTGGGCGATTGCCTGCATCACCTTTGCGGAGGCGGTACACATACCTGCAGAGAGGACGAGGCCTTTTTGCCAATGTGTGCAGCCCGGAACCAGCCAGGCCACTACATCAGCAAAAAGTCCCAGCTCTTCATCTGCATGATATCCCGCCAGTGGATGTATGGTACCGACTCCGTCCCGTGCGAGGAGCCAGGGCTGGCAGCGGGGCTACCGCTGCTCTTGATGCTGCCAGTCTGTGTCCAGACTTCGTTGAGGAG